ATTCAGGGCTTCTAATGAAGTGACTGTAAATTATTTTCAAATCATCTGAACCAAGGGCTGTTGTAACACTAAACCTTTTTGTGATTGTTTGATTTGCAATTTCTTCCTTGTTGTGTTGTTGTTGCAAAGTGGGGTGGTTTTGTTTTTGATGTAAATGATATTTGTTGTTGTTCTGTACATGAGAGACAGCACGGTGCTAATGATGCCCATAATGGGCTAAATTGGCACAAGCCCAGAATGGCCACGTTGTCCTCACAAATGTTTGTGGTGAAACAGGTGGGCAGGATACGGCATAGACTAAAAATGCCTACAAATTTTCACCGCCTTTGGGTTTTGCAAATGGCTCATGAATACAAAAATTGTTTCAATGAACATCATTTTGTTGCTTCTTTTTAAAGGAGGCAACACACGTGGGTGAAAATGCCATTGTTCTCCAAGTAAGCACGTTTAACCACTAGTGCATAAAATTTTCACGGCGTGTGTAAATGTGCAACTTTAACTGTATAAGTGGCAAAAAGAAGGGAGACGTTTTTGCCATCTTTACCCATTCTAGGCACACAGCTAATGAAGCAATAAGAGAGGGTTTGTTTTTAAACAACTTACATACATATAACAGCAGCTGTTTGGGGTTTGTTCTAGCAACAAATGAAGTAAGTTGTTCTACGCTTTGATAACATCTCTAAGGTTTCATTGTAATTTTTATAACATCTAATCAAATAAAATTTGTAAATCCCCATTTTGGAATAAGAAATTTGCAAACCTAAATATATAGCCAAATACCTTTTCCTTTTTACTGTGCTTAAAATAAACAAGGTTTCTGTTTTTGTAATAGTAATTTAATGAACCAATGGCCAATCCTGGATGGAATTGGTTCATGAAAGAGAGGGATTATGTTGTAATAATGGGGCCAACAAATTTTCCCTCGTAGTAAGTGCAATCATCAAAAATAAGTGAAAGTTTGTGAACTGTCACAATAACTTATAACAATACATGTTGATGGGAAGAGATGCAAAAGGGAGGCAGAAAGGCTGAATCTGTACAAACAAAAACACATCCTGATATAACTCTAACTCTGGTAAACAAGAGAAGTGTGGGACTGGAAAGCAATGGAGCAAAATTGGTGTGTCAGAAATTAGGTCTAATTTGTGACCAAAATAATGAGGGGATGGGCTATTTCACCCATCTCTATCCTTTGGTCAGGGGGAGTCCTTAAAAGAAAAGATTTGGGGGGGAGGAGAAGTTGTCATCTGCAAACAACTGCTGGAGTGAGCTTTGCCCATCATAGCCTCCAATCCCACCATCTCCTAGGACCTTGGGCTCTACTGTGACATTGCTGGGCCTTCATCGTCCTAATCTCGAGATCAGAGCAGGCTAAAGAGAGGGGCCCAGATGACATCACCGCTTCCACCAGCTGTGGCTAAATTCCCAACCCCACTTGGGATGTGAGATTTTGTCATCCCAACAACCCCCGCCCCCCATTTATCTTTTTTCTTCCCCACCTTATCCTCTTCTCTTTCCTATCCCTCTTCTTATGCCTTCTGTTGGTAAGAATCTGGCTTAGCTGGCCAAGACTATATTTTGCAACACGGCTGAAGCCTCTGGCCAAAGAGGCAGCTAAAAGTAATGCCCTAAACAGCCTGACGATGGTACAAGTTTGCCAGTCTGAGTGGCTGATCAGACCACACATTATGTCTGTGTTTCTCCAGCAATGAGATTGCAAGTGAGAGTCAACACCAGAGACAGAAGCTGCATTTTCTTTCTTTGCTGTTCTTTTCTCTCCCCTCTTGTGTGCGGTTGTCTTGTTTTGTCTCCCAGGCAATGGGACTGGACCAGCAACAACAGCTCCAGCCCATCGCAACTAACTCCTTCTCTGTTTCCCACAAAAGGGCAGTGATTGAAGACTGTCAAACCACGGTTTGTTTCCTTCGTGACACTCCAGCTAAAGGGAAAGGAAGCCTGGCGTAAGGTTACAATGAAAGCCTTAATACTTTATATTTCAAATGCTTGAACTGTTTTTCCTTCTTTTCTGTATGTTTACTAAAAGGCTAAAAGAATATTTAATGATGTGTTTGCCATGATACTAAGCAGGCTGAGGTATCTGTATACGGAATCTCGTTTAATACTGTTTACTGTTGAAGAGTGACAGGGTCTTGTTAACACCTTTGGGCCCATATATGGAACAATTTACCAAGGTCATGATGGCTTCTCCATCACTGACAATTTTTAACTCACGCTTGGATGTTCTTCTAAAAGAGCTATGCTATGAATTATTGCGAGGCAGTTCTCTGGCCTGTTATACAGGAGGTCAGACCAGATTATCACAATGGTTCCTTCTGGCCTTGGAGTCTATGAATGCCATCTAAATTAATGCAACAGTCCCCACAACACAAACTAGGTCAGAGTTCGGGTGAGTGGAAGAGACAAGATAACAGTGGAGCAGAGAACCCATGGTCCAGTTGGTCCCTGGCCTACCCAGTACCTGATGGGAGGGACCTTTAAGGATCATGGCAGAGGTAGGTTTCAAAGAGAGATTTAAAGGCGAAGTGGCATGATACTACCACTGACATATCATGAAATAATGTAAAACTTATAAAAAAGTCAAAATAAATTCTAAATTAAATTTTGAAATTCAAAAGAATTTTTTTGGAAAGCTAAACAAAAATTCTGAAAACTTGCAAAAGGAAAATGTTTTGAAATGAATTCCCTGGTTGTTTCCAAATAACGATTTTCCTGGGAATTTTTTGTTGCAATAGAGGACATTTTTCGAACTCTTTTAACTTAGACGAAAAACAGCACTGTCCGTCCAAAAAACATTTAGATGGAAAATTTCCAACCAGCTCTAGTGAGGCCTCCCATCTCCTGTGTTGGCTAAGGCCCCAGGCACTTGCTCAGTTGCAGCTGTGGAGGGAATGCTGCAGTTAATGCTGCTGGCATAGTTACTTCCTGAGCAGTGTCTGGTGTCATGGAGCACAGCCAGTCCCCTGCTCTACTCCCTCCCATGGAGCCCCCTCTGTAAAGACATGCTGGTGCTCAGGCTCCCAAAAGTTCCCTCTGGCTGTGGCTACGGTGCGGACAATCTGGGGCTATGACAGTGGCCAGAGGAGCTGAGGAACTTTGCACAGGGTGTAACACAGTGATGGTTGGGGCTGTTGAACCCTGCCTATTTTAAAACCTTTATTTTGTTGAGACAATTCAGGAAGCCTAAGCAGCATGTATGTATAGTGGCTTGGCTCCCGGTGTAGAAGGGGAACACATATCTTGCAGAGGGCCCAGTCACTCATTGCTGTGGAAATGCCCGTGGGTGAGGGTTCTGAGAAGTTTCCTTGGCAATGTTTTCCAAAATCACCCTGCCTTGGGGAGGGAATGTGGAAACTTGCTTCCCCCACTGTGAAGCACATAGTGGGTCCACTGCAAACCCCAGGAGGGCCCAGCTCCAAGAGTTTAATACCTTTTCCTGCAAGACATTGGGACATTTTGCAAGTTAGACTGTTAATAAGAAATTAATGTATCATTTTGAATGGTCCCCCGGCTGGCTCAGAGGAGAATGGGCAGCATTTCTATGGCTGATCATTCAGAAATGCAGAGCTTATTTGGATGCTAGTATCCATTAATCCAGGCCTATTTTGAAAGCAGTTGTAATAGACGTATTTCAGTATTGTCCACTGTCATGTTACTCAGCAGCTACACTCCAGTTAACTAGCCCTTCAAAATACAACACTCAACTTTATCTACCTATGGCTGTAGTATCTGAGCACCTCACAAACATTAATGACAATGTCTTCAACACCCATGTGGGGTGAGAAATATTATCTTCATTTCACCAATGAAGAACTGAGGTATAGTGCAACTTGACATAAGTAAGTGGTATAAGTTAGGGAAGCTTTTTAACAAGCACCTTACCAATAACTGTCATTCTGTTAAACTCCAGTTCTCCAAGACCTTCAGGGGGCTTGACTGCACAGTGATTTAATGCATAACAAGCCAGCATGTGAATATGCAGTGCATTAGCATGCTATGCACTCACTGCTCATGTGGGCTCTGCCATTGCATACTAAAAGACAGAATGTTTAGTGTGTAGTAGCAGGGTTCTCATGATCAGTTAGTGTGCAGCATGTTAGTGGACTGTAGATTCACACCCTAGTTTGTCACACACTAAATCGCCATGTACACAAGCTCTCACGTTTTGCTAAAATTTCAGCTCCATTGATGGTAGCAGTAGTGGGAGCGATAGTGTAGACAAGATGTGGCCACTGGCCACAGAGACATGCTTTGAGCCAATGACGACAACAGTGCTCAAAATGCCAGTGGCTGCCTGGAGCTCTGTACACATTAATTCTCACCATTTTTACCATCAGTAGAGCTGAACCAGTGGACAGTCCAACAGTTCTTGGATTACTCACTTTCCTAACATTATTCTATATGTTTGCATCTATACTAGCAAACTTTGTGATCATAATTCACAATCGGTGCAGCTCCACTGCGGAGCTAAGGCAGAATCTCAACTATGCTTAGGACTCAGGCATTTGTACAACTGTGTCTAAGTCCCATCTACACTACGGCTTCCACCATTGCTACCACAGTGAGCTGCTATTGTTATGAATTGTGGCTACTAACTTTTTCTAGTGTAGACTAGGCTTTACTGACGATGGTGCAGACCTGGAACCCAAACATTAGCCCTTCACAACTGTACAAGTCCTTACCTGGACCTTCAATATCCCAAATCTACTCCAGTCCTGACTGGCAGCACTCCCTTTTTGTTGCCAGGGGGTCTTGGGCAGAAAGGGCCAAGAGAGGAAAATTTTACAGCTGCTTTACGATGTGAACAAATGCCTTCTAGGAACCAAGAGGAGACTTCCATTTCCTAATCAGGATCTTAACCCCGCTCTGTTGAAGTGACTTTATCTTTTATCTCCTGGCTGCTACAATAAAACTTTTTCATGGTCATAGCCAGCACATCAATATTTCCATACAATAGCATTTTAATGATATTGAAATAGAGATATAAATCTATTTTATATTTAGAGAAAGTAAAAAGTTCTTTTTGTCTTAAATACAAAATGTTATATATAGCTGTAATATCAATAGGCAGAAATCGGGGGGAGTACATTTCATTTCATTTGTGCTTTACAACTCAGCAAACAACATTGACCAGGACAAAGAATAAAATATATTTTTATAAGCAAATATACAAGCTATCAGGTTCTCACATAATCCTGATGTAGCTTAGAATTGGCAACAATGAATTTGGTTGCTGTATCAGGAATTGCAGTGGTAAGTCTCTGCTTTATGTTTAAAATAGCATCTGGCTAAAATAAATGTGTCTTATGGTATTTCAGTGTCTCACCTCTACGGTGAACACTGGGAACTCTCTACCTGGGAAAAGGAAGAATCTTTTCTATGGAAAAGAGATTTATAGGTTATAATCAGCAACAAATTTTAAGTGAAAATGACACTTACATAACTGCACCCTGCAACACAGTCACTTTTTTCATCACATTTTTAGTTGCATAACACCACACTTATACTACAATATATCTGGACTCTTCAGGTTTAGATCCAGAAACATAATCCATTTATATATGGAACACAAGTTACCTCCAGAGGGAAAGCACTTAGTTTGCCAGGATGGGTGTGGTATGTTGATGACAATAGATCTGTTTTGTGCACTATATGGCATGTGTTGCTACAGCCTCTTTGTACACAATCCAGCATATAACCATGTGTGTGTAAACTCAGTGGACTCCAGTTAGCATTAAGGTTCTTACTCAAAAGCAGGTCCACTTAGGTAGAGATAGGTAGAAGTTAACAGTGACTTTACTTACACTGTTTACTGGTTTACCAGTTAACAGAGAATGAAAATTTGGATAGTATAGGTGCTGACATAATAAGAAACACTATCAGCATATACTTAAAATTTCATTTCTAAAGAGCTTCCTCCATCAAATGAAACTCCCCATCATTACACAGTAAAGATCTCAGGCCTTTCGGTGGTGGTTTGGGAGTGTCAAGTGGCAAACATCTGCCACATGGCTGATTTGCATTCCGAAGTGCCAGGTGGTAGGCATCTCAGGTGGGTGGGCTCGGGACGTCCAGTTCATAACCCCTCAGTGTCTTTTCCTCCTCAGTATTCCTTTATCACATATGCAGGTTTTTGGACGTAAAGCTGTTGGGACAGAAAAGTGTTCTGTTTTAAGACCAATAATACATATTAACAGTGAAGTCACAAGTTAAACCAGGAGAGAAGAATCAACTCCCTTTTCCACACCAGACAGAAAGCTATCCCCTTCCTCCTCGGTACTGAGCCCCAAAGAAAGAGAACCCTCTCTCACTATAAGAGCAAGGAATGATTAACCATTGGATCAAACTCTTAAGGGAATGGATGAATTCTCCATCCCTTGAGATCTTCAGATCCAGACTGGATGCCTTTCTGGAAGACATGTTTTAGCCAAACACAAGTTACTGGGCTCCTACAGGGGTAACGGTGAAATGTAATGGCCTGTAACATACAAACAGATCATACTAGATGATCTAATGATACCTTCTGGTATTAAACACTTTGAATCTATGAAACCTTTTCCACAGTGAAAGAAGAGAACTGCTGTAAAAGAAAAATAAGCTAGAATCTAGCATGGCTCCTGGCTGAACAAAAACGATCTGATGTGGAAGTTGTACATCATTCTATTTCTGAATGAAAGCTAGAAGAGCTACATATGCACAAGTACAAGTTTCTATTGTGGAGGAGATAGTTGAGAGGTTCAGACAGAAGCTAAATCTGCAATGAGTTATAGCTGAATCAGATAAGTCACATAGGGAGGCACCACCTATGAGAGACATCGCAGGATGACACGATGAATGGGATGGATGTGGAAGAAGACAAAGGAAAGTGGAAGAAAATGGCAATATGGTAAGGAAAAAGAGCACCATTCAGTCTCAGTGCTAGCAATATACATTTCATCTTTGAAAAGTAGGAGATGACCTGAATGAGAAGAGGCCAAGGATGGACAGCAGTCTAACCAGCTATCTAAAGGCAAGGCCGGCATGGGAGCAGCTCAGAAGAAGCAGCAGGTGATCCTCACTCCTCAGTTGAGGAGTTGATAGTGAAGAATGAGATCTAGACCATCTCTGACCCAGACACAGGGTGCTATCCTGACCACCCAGTGCTGGCAAAAGAGATGCGACAAAAAGTCAAAGTGTAACTGTTCTGTACAGAACACGGTGATACCTGGATACCTTCTGTTTCAGCACTGATCTTGCAGGTCAATACAGAATTTAGGTAACACATAACAGAGGAAACGGTGGGAAAAGGATTGGGTGCAGGTGGTGGAAAACTAGCTCTGAATCCAATTGATTGCATGATATGGACATGTTTAATTCCTCTAGGTGTGGTTAAGGCAAAATTTCTTTCTCTTAGAGTCAGTGGGGAACTGGTCTGAGTTTTGGGCAATATGAGAAACCTGGACTCCTCAGAGTCAGGAACCAGGGTGTGGGAGGTCAGGTTCAGTGGTTGAAGCCGTAAGTGGTTGGGCCTGAGAAGTCAAGCTAGAGTCAGTAGCTGGAGTCCAGAGCCTTGGGTCACAGCAAGGTCAATAGCCAGGGACTGGAGCCTAGGGTTGAGCCAGAGTCAATAGCCAAGAACCGTAGCCAAGGATCAAGTCAGAGTCAATAGCCAGAAAACAGGGGGCAGGGCAAGGAGGTAAAAATAATGCTGGATCTGTTTCAACAGTAGGTCAGGGAGCTGCCTTGTTCCACAGACAACTTCCTGATACTCCCTCGAGCTTAAATAGTAGGTCTGGGTCAATCAGAGGTCATGGTAGGGGCTGCCAGTCATCTCTACCGTGGTCAGCACTTCCAGCAGTGGCTGGTCTCCCAGAATGTATGGTGCATTCATGATGGCTCTGCCATGACAGCATGGAAGTTCTGGGGTCAAGTCCTCCTTCAGGGGGTGCCTGTGGGGTATTGTAGGACCAGGTTGTCAAGGTGATATTTTTGAAACTCTTGTACAAGTCCAGGGGTGTGAATGTTACCGGCAGGCTCCTAGGAGATTCTCTGGGACCAAAACCTTCTCAGCCTATGAGGTACCACAACTGACCCCACTTCAATCCAAAGTCCAGTGTGGTCTGGACCTCGTACTCCTCATGGCTTTGAACCAGTGAGGGCAGTGGTTGTGTTCTGTCAGGGAACAGGCTTTCAGTGTATGGTTTCAAGAGAGAAACAAGGAAGATCAGGTGCAATTTGAGGGACTAGGTAAGCGGAGTTTGAAAGTGACAGGGCTGATTTTCTGATAAATCTGGTAGTTTCCAAGGATTGGGTGGTCTAGCTTGTGAGATGGCCTGTTCATGGTGAGATTCTTAGCGGATAAGCAGACCTTCTTGTGTACAGAAAAGACTGGCCCCTCCTGTTTTTGGCTGTCTGTGTATCATGCATCTTAGCATCCTCAAAGTGTCCCCTTAGTTTTTCTTTTATATGGTGGATTCATTGAACCAAGTCAGCAGGCAGTGGGTTCAGGGAGGCTACTGGTAGTGCAGGAGGAAACGGCTGAATCCATAGTTAGCAAAATAAATAAATAAATAAATAAAGAGCTTTTCCCTGTGGAGGCATGGTCGGTGTTGTATGCAAATTCAGCATACAGTACGAGGGTGTCTTGGCTGTAATTAAGAAAGGACTGTAAATATTGCTCAAGTACCTTATTCATCCTCTCTATCTAGCCATCCGTCTGCAGGTGGTATGCTGAGGAGGAATAAGCGTGGACGTTTAGTAGCCTGAGGGTTTTGCGCCAGAGGCAGGGGAGCCCAGGGAGGCAGAGGATATTTGTTACTAGGAGCTGAGCTGTCATCTGAGCTGAAGGTACATGGGAACAGGAGAGGAAGTGTGCCATCTTGGTCAGTTGATCTACAACTGTTAGTACTACTGTGTGGCCATTTGATTTGGGGAGTTCTATGATGGAATTCATGGCACTGGCTGTCCATGGCTGGGGAAGAGTCTCCAGAGGTATGAGGGTGCCAAGAGGTTTCGTGTGCAGCACCTTGGTGCAAGTTCATAAGTCACATGAGTCAACATAAGCCTGAATTTCAACCCACATCCAGGGCCACTAAAAGAAGCAGGAGACTAGGAAGTAGTTTTTGAGGCATCTGAAGTGCCCTGCTAGGGGGTTGCCTTTACTCAAATATAGTACCTGCAACTATATATGGGGCAGAACATATATAGGGCCATTAATATATTAGAGACAAGGTGGGTAAGGTAATGTATTTATTGGGCTAACTTCTGTTGGTGAGAGAGACAACCTTTCGAGCTTACACAAAGCTCTTCTTCACCCCTTCAGTCAGAGGCACTTATGGCTTATTACAACAATCTATAACCCACTAACCCTCCCCTAGCTGCTTCCACCCCTTTCCTCCTCATGAATACAGGGGTGTTAAAGGGCCACTTAATCTTGAATGGTCCCTTGAAATGTGTTTTAAATACTTATGCTAAACAATCTGTTCCAGGTTGTATTTTGCTGTGACACTCTGAGGGCAGGTCTACACTTAAAACTCTGCAGCTTCTCCCGTCAGCATAGACCTGGGATCAAGTCCCATGAATCCTCACAGTACGGTAACACAGTCACGTATTTCTCAGTAAAGTCTACAAAGAACTGCTGATTAATTATGATTATTATTTAGAGAAGATTGATCAGATTCAGGCTGATCGACAGCTTCCATGAGAACAGTGGATGGAAATTAAAAACACCGTCTTGACTGGGTGGTTTACTTGGGGAGCACAACCAACCACCTCTGAGATGAATTTATGCCTTTCAAAGCTGATTACAAACCCAGTGGAGATACACTGAGGCCAGTACTGAGGAGTATCATTACTGTAATGCCTTCCTTGAGGTAAGAAAATTGTCAGCCATGTTTGAACTTTGGACATGGACAACCTCACCAATTTTCATCTCATCTTGAACCCGGTCTCCTTCTTGGGCTCTATTATCAAGAAGGTGGTGATGAGTCAGCGTGAGCTACACTTGCATTTGACAGATTTCTTTGATCCATATTAGTCCATTTTCAGATTGAGTTACAGAACAAAGACTGTGCTGACCTTGACGAGCGATGATCTGCTAGTAGCAGACTAGGGTAAGATGATTCTATCAGCAGCTCTTGATACCATTGACCAGGTGGAAATTTTGACTCAGCTGCAGGACTTTGGAAGGGTGGACAAGGAAGCCCTTCAGCAAGTTTGCTGCTTCCTCTCTGAGGGATTCTTAAGGGTTATGCTGGCCAATTGCTTGCTTTCCCTCAGGGCGCCCACATAGTTAGCTAACTCAAGTTAACAAATGCAAGGTAAAATCCTAGTTAAGACAAGGCAATTTGTAGTTTTCACATTAGTTAGCAGGTCGAATTACAGAATAGGCTCCCCCCATCTTTAACTCAACCTGCTAACTAGTGTGGGAAAAAAACCTTCCTAGTCTGCTATGAGCAGGTACCATTGGCGGTGCTGCCCAGCTAAAGCAGGCTAGTGCCTACCTGCTCCGACACCGCGCTGTGCCCCAGAAGCAGTCAGCAGTGGGTCCAGCTTCTAGGCAAAGGGGCCACTGTGCGCCGCACGCTGCCCCCGCCCCAAGCACCATCGCAGCCAATGGGAGGTGGGGGTGGGGTGTGCCTGTGCGCAAGAGCCACATGGAGCCACTTTTGCACCTCCGTGTAGGAGCTGGACCTGCTGCTGTCCACTTCAGGCGCAGCACAGTCCGCTGTGCCAGGACAGGCGGGAAGCCTGCTTCTGCACCCTGACTGTGCTGCTGACCGGGAGCCTCCAGAGGTAAGTCCATGCCCCAACTCCGCACCCCAACCCTCTGCCCCAGCCCTGACCCCCAACCAAACCTGGAGCCCCCCCCTGCACACCAAACCCCTCATCCCCAGAGCCTGCACCCCCAGCCCAGAGCCCTAACCCCTTCCCACACCCCAACCCCCTGCCCCAGCCCAGAGCCCCCTCCCACCCCCTGAATTCCTCATTCCCAGCCCCACCCCACAGCCCTCACCCCCACATCCCAACCCTCTGCCCCAGCCCTGAGCTCCTCCCACACCTCAAACCCCTCATCCCCAGCTCCTTCGGGTCACTGGCATCAACAATTTTCTTCAACTGGGTCCCCAGAAAAAAAGTTTGAAAACCGCTGGCCTAGATGAAGGGGCCTTGCTGTCATGCTGGGGCAGGAGGAGCTTGAAGTAGCAGGTTTGCCCTCATAGGGTGGAGGGGTTGGCAGGGAAGGGAGGTATATTTACTGGAGGTTCCCCACTTTCTATACTCTTGGTGATTGTATATCTGCCAAAAAGTGTGCCCGTTTTTCATTCTGTCTGCGGAAAGTGGGCAAAAGGTTCTCATAAAGAAACGGAACTCACCGGGATCAGCAGCAATCTGCTTCTTTTTGGAGTTTGTGATAAGTTGATTTTCGTTCATCATTCGTACATCCTGATCCTCTACATGATTGCTGCAAAGATGAAAAACAGACCAATAGCAGGGATAATCAATAGTCTATAGACACCACTGCAGCTATGGGGAAGCACATTGCAATGTGTTACCTAAACCACTGCGAGGCTGCATCACTGCCACCACTGCCTTCTGTGAGTCACAGTCTGGAAGGGTGAGGCTTAACTCTCATATAGCCCACAGTTATAAACCTAAGAACCTAAAGTTATTCCTCACAATTGTATTTGTTGGGAGGGGTGCTCTCAAACACACATTCCAACTGCTACTACCACGTCCACTCCACAGCCTACTCCGACCTTCTCTACATGCAAAATCTGACCATCTAAACCAAAATCTGTTTTTAAATCAACTTCATTAAACCAGTGCAAACCCATGTAGACACTCTTAAACCAATTTGCAACCATCCTAAATTTATTTAGCTTAATTTGATCATTTACTGAATTAAGCTAAATTGATATAAAAGAGTTATAAACCAATTTCATACATTTATAGATTTCAAGGCCAGAAGGGATTATTATGATCATCTAGTCTGGCCTCCTGCACCATACAGGCCAGAGAATTTTACCCAGTGATTCCTGCATCAAGACCATAACTTCTGGTTGAACTAAAAAATATCTTCTAGAAACACATCAATTCTTGATTTAAAGACTGTACGCAATGGAGAATCAAACCTGTGGTAAGTTGTTCCAATGTTACCAAATTACCCTCACTGTTGAAAATGTTCTCTTTCTTTCCAGTGTAAGTGTGTCCATATGGGAGTGTTTTATTTAAAAGTGGATTTTAGTTAAATCAATGCAACATTTGTGTGTAGACTGCAGCCAGACTATCTGTTCCTTTATGAGCAGGAATCAATAGCTTCAAAATCTCATCAAATTTAAATACATAAAAAATGTCAGCTGGATGCTTAACAATAACATCTGTAAGGGACATTCTAGAACAGATATGCATTGAATGATTAACAACTACTGATTCCTTCTGGCCTTAAAAAATATTAGAAAAGCTATCCACCTCTGTTTATCCTAAAACAGGATCCATCTAAGAAGTAAAGACAAGAAGAAAATGATTTGCATCATGTGAGACACTTTGTCTAAGAACCCACAGATCAGCCAAGGTTTGAAGTTCTTCTCCCAAAGAACAGAAATTGAAATGGCTAAATGGGAGTACTGTTAATCACCTAGGCAAGATCTGCATACGGATAAAACCTCTTTCTCCCTCCCAACCTACCTAAAAAGAACTCCAGTTTACAGGCAAGAGTGACACCTTCCTAGCCTATGAAAAGTGGCCCATTGCACATTGTGAGTGGATCAAGAGATGAATGAGGAAGCTGCAAGTTAAGCAAACTAGAAATGACTGGCTGTAAGACTGAAGGTCAAATTGGGTAAACTACCCCAAGAAAATCAAAGCCACATGTTTTCACCCCTAATTATAAACTATATATTGCTTTTCTTGTAAATCAAATATATCATGGATAATCTTTAACCCAAAATTAGAAGCTGCAAGTTTGTTTGCTTTGTGAGTCAGATCTACCTCCTTCAATAAGTGAATATATATATATATCCTTCTTGCTCTATTGTCAGTCTTAAATAATGTGAAATGCTTATGTACAACCAAAGAATGCATTGAGTATGTCCTCCAGATTTAGAAGATGAGAAGGGATTTTGTTGATTTTCATTGTAAATAACTGTTGCACTCTAGAGGTAATAGGAATTGTCTGGCACAAGGAAGAAGGAATGTTATAATGATATAACTTTGAGATATTAAGAGCAATTGCTAAAAGGGGTGGATCCCAACTGATAGTAGTGGCTAATAACAAAATTCAATCCTTGAAATGAATTGAACATATAAAGGCTTCCGATAAGAAAAGGATTGAAGAAATTTGTTGTACACCTACACTATGGGATACCTATGGAAGCAGCAGAAAAACAGAGAGAGCTGAAATTGGAACACTCACTTGGCACATGTTCAATAGAAATCAGAGGGTGGCCCCTCCAACCAGCCTTGAAATTAGAGTATATAAAATTGAGGTCACCATGTGCAAATGGAGAGTTGACTGAATGGAATAAGAAGCTGCAGAATCCTAAGTGTGACCGATGCCCAGACCAGCCAGGTGGAAAGGACTCTCCCTCATCCCAGGTTAAGTGGATATGAAGAAGTGATGAGATTTCATTTAGAAGACTGTATTTCCCCTTTTATTCTTTAATATAAATAACTGTAGATTATCTTGCCTAGTCTATACTTTGCAGTGAGACCTAAAGTAACAATATATTAGATTTTAATTCCTTTGCATATCCAAGCAAATTGGCCTATGAGAGATAAAAAACAATAACTTTAACCACTTGCTTTTGACATGCTAAACTTTTAACTGTTGGACCAATCCATTCAAACTATAGTAACCACACTCTTAAAAGTGTCTTAAAGACAAGTTCATCCTTGGAATGTGATAAAAATGCTAGGTACTAAAGAACTGAAACTGAGTATCATAAGTAAATGTAATAAAAAATCTTGATAATTTACATTGTTGCTTGGTTTAACTGTTGAGACAACTCTAGATTATGATAATTGATTGCAAGACTGTATTGTGTGTGTGTGTACTACACATCTAGAACACTGGTTGTTGTCTACACTTGAGTGGTGAATGTGTGATTGTATACTAACGTGGCTCTGGGTGAATTAATAAATTGTTGGTTGGTTAAGACTAAGCATGTGTCCTGATTTGAGAAATACTGTTCAAGTTAAAAGTTGACCTGTAAAGAACCCAGAATGAGAACTGGTAAGCTAATGTTCCCTGAATAAAAAAAAAGAGGTTATCCTATTAGGTTCCGTTCTATATTGGCAATAACACTTATCCAATTGGCAAATCTAGTTTGTTAGATTTTAGCTTTAAAATCTAACAGGCAGCTTGGCAAATTAACAAAATGGACCAACCCCATTTTATGCTTATATATCAATCACCACAAAAAGCAACCCAAAGGGTGGGTGAGTGGGAATCCAGTGATATGATAGCTTCAGAAAACAAGAATTGCCTTTTTCCTTTTCTCTAAAGATACCTTATTGTACTAGATTTCCATTCTTGGAGACAAAGGAGGGATATCTCAAAATAACACAAAGTGAGACAGATTCTACCTCAGGCTTCATCAGTATAAATCTGAAATAATTCCACTGAAGTCACTCTGGATTTAAACAGGTCAATGAGATCAGAATCAGGCCCAGGGTTTATAAAAAGTGCAGAACAGTGCAGTGGGAAAGACAGTAGGCCAATGCCAAAAGTAACAATAAAGAAAAGTTTATACACACTTCTGAAAATGAAGGTTAAGATCCACCAAGTACTAATAGTGTGAGGTTTTATTCTCTCCACCACAAAACTGTGAGGGTAGGGTGCCTCTCCTTGGAGGAAAAAACGGAATGAAAGCTTAAAAAAGGCCAACTGAAAAGAGAGACCCAAGAGATCTCCTGAACTGAAAATCCCGGGGACAGGAGAGTTAGGGCATCCCTGGCTGGGGAAGACGTTCTGCAGCACTGATCATTCAAATGGCAATTCCTTTCTTGAAACTAACTCCAAACAATAATGCTTTGTGAGTATGTGTGGAGAAGGTCATACAGTAGCTTTACAAGTCTTCAGAAGAGAAAGGAGACCCATAGTTACAGCTGGAGCTACTTGTGTCTCCAATTAAAGGTGCACTGGCACAACTCCTGAGCTGCAGGGCTGCCAGGCAAGAGCAATGAGAAATGCAATGAGACAGCCATTTGGACTGGACTCTTGATAGGAACATAGGACTTGCCATACTAGTTCAGAACAGTGGTCCAACTAGTTCAGCAATCTGGCACCAACACTGACCAATATCAGATGCTTTGGAGCAAGTTCACGAAATCCTATACTAGGAAGCTGTGTGATAACGTCTCCTCAGAAAAAGTGTCTCATAAAGCCCAAATAATCAGAGGTTGGCTTATGCCCTTGTTTATTTTTAAAATTTTTATAACAACTTTGGATATTCTTGTTATCTAAATAAACATCTAATCCCTTTTTGAATCCTATTATGGTTTTGGCCTCAAATGATAATGGCAAGGAGTTCCACAAGTTAGCTGTGTACTATATGGGAAAGCATTTCCTTCTGTACATTTTCAATTTGCCACTATTCAATTTCATTGACAAGCCATGTCAATCAGTTCTCCTTTATCCACTGTTTTACAATGTTCCTTTGCAGAAACCATACTGGTTAGATCCTATTATATAATCACCTTCTAACTGTTTTATATCTGTACTCTTAATTATCATTTTAGCCAATTTACCAGGCACAGATATAAGGCTCACAGGCCAGTATTTCCTCAGATCACAACTCTTTTTATTTATAGATACAACATTTAATACCCACTCTGGTATCAATTCTTTGGTATCACAGCTGATGTTTATGAGAGATTGCAAAGTTAAGTCACAGCTTTCTTAAGTTCTTTTAGATGAATTCTTTTAGAATGAACTCTTTTAGATGAACTCTCGGATGAATTCCATGTGGGCCTGGTGACTTATTGCTTTTAGTTTGTATCAGCATCTCTCATTTTGACACTTCAGTCTGATAGTACCTCATCTCCATTACCGGTAAAAAGAATCTCCCCAACATTGTCTGGGGAAGATTGTTGCAAAGGTCCTTATCCCCCTTAATTGCTCCCTTTAACTCTAGTGATCCAGCAGACCCACCAACAAGAGTATTGCAGGCTTCCTGCTAATGACATACTTAAATAATTTCTTATTGTTTGTGTGACAGGCATGGAGCTGCTCCTTAATAACTGAGGAATAGTGTGTGTTGATTTGATACGTTTACTGTATGAAAATATTGGGTTAGTTTAATAGGCTGTTGTAAGGAAAAGTAAGCAGGAAGAAAACAATACCTTGAGATAAGCCACTCCATGGTAAACCCTTGAGGGTTACCGGAGAATGGCTGAGCCATTGGCTCTGAGGAGCCTGGCTTGACCTCCTGTTTAGCCCAAAGGACTGGATTGATCCAGAAGGGAACAAGCCCAGGGACTCTCTGGCAGAGAAAAAAGAACTCTTTCTCTCTAGAGATGAGATAGTTGCTGGGTAACTGGACAGGGAAGGCAGACTGATGCCAAGACCACTGGGGTGTCTGAAGAAGGTAGACCTGCTTAGGTCACTATCAAGGGATGGTAAACCTTAAGTATGAATGATAGACATGTATGTAGATGTTTTCTTATTTTAAAATCAATTTTTTCCTATTATGCTTTGTTCCTTTGTGAAAATAAACAAGAAGGCTAGCTGGTCACTGTATTCACCATGAGTCACAGGCTCCCTGCAGGTGCTGAACCCAGCTGAACTTGCTGTGTAAGTATGGTTAATACACAGGATACTGCTGCCCAAAGCCCTAGCAGTAGGATAATTGCAGAATTCCACCACTAGAGAGGTAAAGACATGAGGCCTGACTCCTAAGCAGGTGCACAAAGGAACAGAGTGACCACAAAGGGGACAGAGTGCAGTTAGCCTTGTAACATCAATTTGTTTTTCTACCTTTAGCTATTTGCTCCTTGAAATGCGTCTGGGCCCTACTAATTTCCTTCTTATATTTTCATCCTGTAATTTATGCTTCTTTTAATTGGCTTCACTAAGATTGGTTTCCATATTCTGAAAGATCTCTGGCTTGAATAACCTCTCAAACCTTACCAGTTAGCCAGACTGGTTTACTGCTTACCTTCTTGTTCTATGGTATGTATACTGTGTGAGACTCTAGTATTGTTTCCTTAAGTAGAATTGATGCCAAATGGAAGGATTTTAATTTTTTTTTTTTACTTTTGACACTAACTTCCTCATTTTATTGAAATCTACTTTTCTAAAATTTAACATCACTGGGTTGGTATCTGATCCTTTGAATACAATATACAGCACAATTGCTTTCTATGCCAGTCAGTACATAGCACTGCAATTCTTGACAGTAACGTAGAAGTTGCTGACATCAGCCACTGGAGATAAAATTATGTAAATAGGATTCTTCATTAAAATGAAAGCCCAGCACATACCTAATAACTGTATTCTTCTCTCGTTGGCAAATCCTCTCATCATCTGTAAAGAGAATGGTATGATATGGGACCACAGGGTCGCAAGTGGGCAGGATGCCATGCACTATGTGGCTCACCATGTCTAGAATTCCATTGTACACAAGCAAGTCATCTACAAGAAGCTGGAAACACAAAACAATCAAGAATCAGTTTTGTTCAAGCAACAGTTTATATTATTATTCATGAAAACTGAAAACTCTTCTGGAAAAAGCATCTGAATGAAATGTCATTGCTCTCAATACAGTCCTCTCTGTCAGCTGAATAGGAGTTGCACCATTTGTTCCAGGAGAGCTGCTCACTAGTTTAGCTGCATCTCTGTATCAAACAGTTTGCATCTCTCTCACTTTGCCTCTGGTGCTTTCTCACACTCTGTCTCCTGGCAGATTAGTTTCTAATAAAATATATGAGCAGGCATAGAAGACCTGACTACACCCTATTACAGAAATTGATTCTGTTATTCTGCATGTTATTAACTTTAATGAATCATCATGTTTTTAAAAACTTAGACATTTATGTTGAAGTTGCACACAAAAAGAGTGAATCACACTGTGATAAATTATGAGTATGAAATAAAAAAGGAAATTAGGGCAAGCTGACTCATAAAAATTGCTTATGAATAAGTACTTACACCAAATTCTCTCACTCCCCTTTGGGGAGTTTTTGCATAATTCCACAGTTTGATCATTGACACGGTAGTGGGCAGGTCAAAAATAACATAAACCCTATTCACCTGTCAGAGAAAAGAATTCATTTAATTTTCAGTAAAACATGACAAACATCAAATGAAGGAATGCAAACATAAAGCATGATAAACGTAAAGAACAAGACTCAAATTTTGTATTAAAGGAGCAGAGCTGGAAAGCAGAAAAATGATATTTGAGCATTTAATGAGTTCATCTATCATCTCCATGCCAAAGATTCACAGATCTAGTTCTCCACTCTGGACCTCTCTCCTGTTCAGACTGAAATCTCAGCTTGTCTCTCTAACATCTCCTCCTGGATGTCAAGCCATTAGCTTAACCCACAACAGAGCTCTTCTTTCTTCACCCAAAGCCTTTCCCTCTCCCTCCTCTCTCAGTTACTGTGGCCAGCACCACCTTCCTGCTTCTCATGCCTGGAACCAGGGCGTCCTCTTTGACTGATCTTGCTCTAGGTTCACTGATTCAGGCTAGTCGAAATCTTGCTGCTTCTTCCTGCACAACATCTCTAAGACCTGGCCTTGCCATCCACACAGCGAAAACGCTCACCTAGGCCCTCATCATCTCATGTCTCGACTGCTGCAACATGTCCTCGACAAATGCAATTTTCACCACTTACATCCATCCAAAATGCTATGGCAAAGATCATGTTCCTGCCTCATCACTCCAACCATGTCCCTCCACTCTGCACATCTCTCCACTGGCTCCCCCCTTGCTATTGCATCAAAAACTACTGGTCTTGGTTATAAGGCCCTTGTGGCCTATCCCCACTTACCTTTCATTTCTGATATGCTATCGAGATAATGACTCTCCTCTCTGCATTCCTAACAACGTCTCCTCCACTGCCCACTTGTTACATTTTCCAACAAGCACCTTGGTGCTGTGTTCCATGCTGCCCCTTTTGCCCAGGAACTACTCCTCATAACATTTGTAAAGCTACCTCATTGTCCTCTTTCAGATCCCTTAAAACTCCGCTTTGCCCTGAGGCTGACTAAAAACTTAACATGGCTGGCTAGGATCGTCACATTGCTTCCGTGTGCTCCCCCTCTGTTGGTTGCGTCAGCCTGTTGTCTCTTGTCTCATATTCAGACTGTAAGCTCTTTGGGGTAGGGACTGTCCCTGTGTTCTGTGTTTGTACAGCACCTAGCACCACAGGGTTCTGATCCATGACTGGGACCTCCTCAGCACTACTGTAATTCAGGTAAGTTTAGCAATAGACCATGGATAAGCCTTGCCACATGTTCTGAAGCAGTTCACTGATCTCAGGAGTATGCAAGCCTATTTTTAAAAGTTGAAAATAATAATATTGTATCTTTTCAATATATTGTTCTACTCTTATTTCTTGCTAGGATTCTATCTTTGGGCTTCAGGGAGAGTCTGGTTCCATGAATACATTCTCCACAGGGAGAGCTAACTTTTCCAGGACAATCTCTTTAAAGAAACAGTATTTCTGGTTATCTTTAAGAAGGGATGGTGTTGTCATGCCTCAGGGGTCTTTACTCACATTCTTGGGGTTTTAATATGCTTTCTAAGGCGGCAATTAAGTATATACTACTGTAAATCTGGTTTCTGTAACTTTAGGTTGCCAGATGCTGACACTGAGTTTTTTACTTTCTGAATCCACCTGAAATATAGATCTGACACTGCCTTGCCTGTGAGAAGATTAATGGTGGTATTTAATATACTGGCTCAGCTTTCTAATTTACCTGGGAGCTCAGGGGACCGATTCTACTCTCAGTTACACAATTAAAGATAGGAAGTACTCCACTGAAGACACTGGGCCAGGTTCATGGGGGTGGTTGGGCCCAAGGTGGCTCAACAGTGGCTTTTAAGCCACATTTTTGTTGCCTTGATTCTTGGACTGGCTACATCTGGTGCAGTTTAGTAAAATATCTGATCTGTCCTGCAATTGAGAAAAACCAAGCCAGCCAAGCCCCCTGCCCTTCCCTCCACCCAGCATAGACTCTGCCTTGTGACAGTTACATTCGGGTACAATAATTAATTTGCTGGCTATTCGTATATATTAATAGTAAAACAGCTATCAGAGATGGAGAAATGAATCATTCCGACCAACCAAATATCTATCTTACCCCAAGACAGAACTACTCTGCCTGATTAAATACAAGGCGTAAAGAAAAAAGGAAGATTATTTAACAGAAAAGAGAAGTTTGCTGAATGTGTTGCAGATCTCCAGTTAAAGAGGGGCACACTTGCTTTGGTAGGTCCCTGGAACAGTTCAAAGCAGCCTGGCCATTAGGAGGCACATGCATTCCAAAGATTTGGTCCAGCATTCCAACAGATTCCATTACAGAGACTGCCCTTTTCACACCCCACAGGATCAGCTTGCTTCCTCTTCCTGACACTAACCACCCTCCAAAGAAGAGGGGAAGGAGGAAAGAGCTATGTGGATGTACACAGATACATATATATTAGGGGAACTCCAGCTACTGGTGAGTTATTTTCCTTTTACTATCATGAAATGGGTTTTGCTAACTCCCAGTTATTAGGGAGATTAGCAAGCAGTAGACAGCTACAGAGGGAGGGCTAAGGAGATTTAATTAAACAGAAACTGAAGCACTACTCTCTCAAATCAGTAATCAGACTGGCATCTCAATGGAAAGAGGAATGCTTCATCAGGCATGGTTCAAATGCCAAGTACCAGCTTTACATATTGCCATAATGGAAACACTACAGAGGGAAGTCATTGAGGTAACCAGCCTGTCTCTTCTCTCGCTCCAAGTCCCCCTCAGTAGCAGCTGGTGCCCAAAGCAAATGGTGGAGCTCCAGTCACTCTGCGCCTTCCCCTTTCCTGCTCTTTACCATTCCTCCCAACAAGGACATAGGCGAAAGGCCCCACCTTAGCTCCCTCCCTCCCCTCTCCTGAAAAGAAGCTAGTGGCTCCAGCCACTCAGCTGCCACTGTCAGACCTGACAAGCCAAAGGCCATCCCTCACTGAGCTCCCGAATCTCCCTGCTAGGCGCCGATGCTGTGTGAGAGGCCCAGCCCTTCACCACTGGGCTGCTAACCATCCATTTCCCTCTTCCTACACACTTGCTGCCTCTGCTCCTGTTTAAATTTGCAGGACACTGGACAGCTCTGCTTCCCTTTCCCACTGCCACAGCACCTAAGGAAGGCATGGAGCTCTATACTGAGGCTGTGTTCAGACACTTTGGGGCTAATCTTCTTTAGCCTCAAAGGGAATTGAAAAGGCAGCCTGTGAACATGTGCTGGTCTCTGCACTGTTCAATACTTTCACTGGAAGAAGGAGTTCTCTTGGGAGCTAGAGGCAACCACTTCCATCAACCTCTTCCTCCCCGGACAGCTGCACTGCAGGGGCTAAATGTCAGCAGCCCCTCTGGACTGCTCTCCATGGAGCTGCACTGGGAAAGAAAGGGGAGAAAGGATGGATATTTGGCAAACTACAAAAATATAAAGAGGGGATGATTTAATTGGTGGGGCTTAGTCCCTTCTGAGGCACTACTGGTCTGTCTGGTATTGGCAGTCCATTTTCATAGCCTTCAACTGTTATTGTTTTCCCCTTGGACATCTCCACAAAGAGCCAGATGATTCTGACGGGCTTAGTTGTACTTATCATTCATTTATTTATGGTAGTACCCACTGTGTGCTAGACACTTTCCAAACACTCAAGGATAGTCCCTCCTCTGAAGAACTCACAGTCTAGGGGCTGGCAGGCAAGCTGACAGAGATTAGAGGGAAGAGGAACATTAGGCAATTTATATTCAAATCAATTTGATTCATTGTAGTTGAGAGGGTTTAAGTGGGACTTTAGTGATGCAAACGCCTTGAGCTCGGAGGCGAATGTCACTCAAGGAGCCAAGCAAGTGAGTACACTTTTCCCAATAAAATACACAAACTTCTAGATGCTTTATTGCACTGGGGGATGGAGGGAGGGGAACTACAGAGGTCTATCTGCAGAGGCAAACATCTGCACAGTCCTCAGAACGGGGAAGGGGAAAGAAAAATATTTAAATCCTGTTGCAGGTCCTGGTACGTCCTATCAGACTTCTTGAAATTGGAAGGCACAAAGGCTGGATACTTGCAGACATCCAAGGCAAAATCCTTAAGGCCTTTAAGAATCGGTAAGGACACCTTCCTCTTTCCTTGGATTGGAAAACACTGAATAATTTATACAACTTCCTTGGAATTGCAGCCACAAGAATCTCCAAAGCTTTGTTGTCATCTGGAGAGTAAGAGGAAAAGGTAATGAGAATTCATTCATTCATCCAGGAATCTCTTTCACCACCTGACATCCTCCAAGTCCTCTACAGTCAAAAATGTTAACTCCAGTGCTGATGGAAGCACAAAAGCTTCAAGGAGATGATGGCTCTCAAGCAACTTGTTTTTCAGGTGGGTGAGGTCCACCAGACTGTTTCGATCTAGGAGAAGGTGCTCTAACAGCCCTAACTGTGAAATTAAGACCATACTGGCATGTAAGCTGAACACTGACCATGAGTAACACGAGATGGAACAGTAGTTCCCCATACAGTTGCGGAGATGTAAGGGAAAATACAGGACTCTGCTCTGGGGGAATGATAAGAGAACCAGGGCCAGGTGATTCAGAGGTATCTGACATTGGACACTCATCCTCTCTGAGAACAAATGAAGCAGTTGGTTTGCTGAGTGTTAACTGAAGCGTGGGCATCTATCTCAAAGATTCATATGGATCTGACCTAAACCTCATTTGAGGCACCTTCCATCCAGACAACGGATCAGAGGAACCTCTCAGTGCAAATCCTGATGGATCTGTAAAGATTTTGCTCCAAGTCCCAGAATTAAATCCTTCCTCAATCCTCATAATAGTTTCTAACTTTAGCATTGGCTTGGCGGGTATTAGACCTGGTGTGGAACTAAATAATCACTTGAACACCAGACCTGATGCTTCAGTGGATCCAAGCATATTGAATCTGACTGTTGAGAACAAAGCCCTGCACAGAAACGTGGCATAGAAATATGGTCAGAACCAGAGTCTCCCCTGCGCCTAGAAAGTGATCAATTCAACTCTCTTGACCTCCTTACTTCCTGCTTAGGGCTCTCTTCTTTGCAAGAGTACTTGTTAAAATGGTCTCTCTTTTCTACCAAAAGGCTCCAACAGGGGAATCAAAGCCTCCTGAAACTCCAGATAGAACAGATGACCCAAGGATTCAGAGACCGAATGGAAGATCTGCACACTATGGCACCTCAGTCTGTGCAAAAGCATCACTAAGTTAATTGCTCTGATGTTTTCTCATCCCAGAAGTAGAGACTGCACAGGCAAAACAAGTTTGGGAGTGTGACCTTCCACTGAATGCTGGAAACATTTTACAGTTACTTACTGGTAACTGTTGTTCTTTGAGAGTGTGGCCTTTGCATATTCACACTTGTGGGACTGATGCATCCTGGGGTCGAGCTGTGGACTAGAGAGCAGTCCCTTAGGGCCATTTGCCCCTTCTGGATTCTGAAGGTACAAAAGGAAGCATGGCACAAACCATGCTCAGTTTGTTTCCTAATTTCAGAATTCTTCACCTGGAACTCTGAAGAAGTGGGGAAGGTTGGCAGGGACTGTGAATATGCAGAGGGAACGCTCTGGAAGAATGACAGTTACTGGTAAGTATCCTCCCCTTCTTTGAGTGGCCTCTGTATATTCCCACTTGTGGGAGAGTAGCAAGCAGTGCAACCTACTCAGAAGGTGTACTGAGGAGTTTTAGATGATCAGAAACTGCAAGATTGCGCAAATGAGGACCAGCTCTGAATGGCAGGTCAAGAAAGAATTATAATTGACCATAATTTTGTTCTTCAAGATCAGACATGAGTGAGGGACAAATCTGGTTTCAAGTACATACAAAACTTCAGGTAACAGTTTTGCAAATTCTCTGAAAAAGACAGATGGCCTGCAATGGATGCTGTTTTTAGATTAGATGAATACCATTAGTTATAGTCAGGTGAATGAACACCTGGTGAGTCATAACAATGATGCAAAAGAGAGCTGGGGAAATACAAACAGGATAGTGGCCTGTAAGAGACGGAAACAGACATGACTTGAGATTGACAATGTGGATAAAATCACTGCCCACATCACATTTCCCATATGGACTACAGTTTACAGAGAATTGGCCATTTGGACTGTACCTGACTATGACTGGGCTGTAACTATTGTTATGAAGGATGTCCTCTTCAGAGGTGTATGGTACAGATAATATTCTCACCAAGAGCAAACTGGAGGTCCCAAGAGCTTTGTGAAACAAGACTCCAATCCCAAAGCAGAAGAGATGCATGCACCAGAGGGAATAAATACATCCACCTTGTGGTACTCCAGCACAACCAACTACACTGCTACAAAGAAATCAAGATTCTTTGGCACAGCCATGAAGGCAAAGTCTGGGGCCAAAGAAGTCAGGAAAAGGTCTCCACTGCACAGCATTTACAGAAGAAAGAGCACATCCGGGAGAAGAGGTAATTGTATAAGGAATAACATGCACATGACTGTGGCGTTTCAGGTATATTGCATACTTACAAGAGTATGGTATTGCAATTAGTCTTGCGTTTTTCATTACCCCAAGAAATGCAGATATCCAAGAATTCCTACATATCTGGAGGCATTACCTCATTTATATCCACTGCACTGGAACATGTAATGCTGTTTGTATAATTTCCCAAGCTGTTTTCTTTTTTTGTATTTGAAATTTCTCATTAATTGACAGCTTAAGTTTATAATTGTAACTTTTAACATTCGGAGGGCTTGTCTACAATGGAGTAGCAATGTGCACAACGGGGCTGTGATTTCTAAAGGGGACTAATGTGTCACACAGTAATTGGTCTGGGTAAGCCCTGCTGGTATGCACTAAAAGTTCCCTAGTGCACACCAGCAGGGCCTACACAGACCAACTACTGCATGGCAAATTAGTGCACTTTACAAATCACACCTCTGCAGTGCGCATTACTAGGGTGACCACCTTTTCAAAAGGCAAAAGTGAGACACAAGCAGGTAGGTTGCCAACCCTCCCGGTTTCACCAGGAGTCTCACGGAATCGGGCTCTGTCTCCCGGAGGCTACTGTAGCCAATCTGGGAGATTTTAGGCTGCTATAAGTCAGGTGGCACAGCGGGGCTAAGGCAGGCTTCCTGACTGCCCTGGCCCCAGGCTGCACCCGGAAGCGGACAACACACCCCTGCAGCCCCTGAGGGAGGGGCAGGGGGCTCCACGCGCCACCCCTGTCTGCAAGCACCTCTTACTTAGCTCCCATTGGCCGCAGTTCCCGGCCAATAGGAGCTGTGGAGTTGGTGCTCGGAGCGGTGTGCAGAGCCCCCTGCCCCTCCCTCAGAGGCTGCAGCCTGCCTTAGCCCCGCTGCGCCGCTGACCAGGAGCTGCCTGAGTTAAATGCTGCCTGGCTGGAGCCTGCACCCCAACCTCCTACCCCAGCTCTGAGCACCCTCCCGCACCCAAGCTCCCTCCCAGAGCCTGCACCCCACCCCCCTCCTCCACCCCCACCCCCTGCCCCAGCCCTGAGCCCCTCCTGCACCCAAACTCCCTCCCAGAGACAGCACCCCCTACCCCAATCCCCTGCCCTGGGCCCCCTCCTGCACCCAAACTCCCTCCCACAACTTGCACCCCCTCCTGTACCCCAACTCTCTGCCCCAGGATCAGCCCAGAACCCCCTCCCACACTCTGAACCCCTCAGCCCCAGCCCGGTGAAAGTGAGAGTGTGGGAGAGCGAGCAACAGAGGGAGGGAGGGATGGAATGAGCAGAGCAGGGCCTCGGAGAAGGGGTGGGGCAGGAGCGGAGCCTCTTGGCAGGGCCAGGGCACAGGTGTTTGGGTTTGTGCGATTAGACAGTTGGCAACCCTACATGCAGGAGCCCCACCAGTCTTTGTGGCCCCACTCCCTGCCCCTCCTCTTTCCCCTGAGACCCTGCCCCCTGGTCAGACTGGAAGCCAGAGCTAGGCCTTGGTAAGAGCCACTCAGGGAGCCCAGGTCGCTGTGGGGAGCCCCGAATCCTCCAGCTGCCCTGGGTAGTGTGCCCTGGGTTGTCGAGACATGGTCTGGGGGTGGCTTTTGGGCACCCCAACACCCCACCCAGGGCAGGTGGAGGGTCCGGGGCTCCCCACAGCAGCCCGGGCTCCCTGGACAGCTCTTACTATGGCCCGGCACTGACTTCCACCTTGGCCAGGGAGCGGGGCCTCAGGGGAAAGAGGAGGAGCAGTTGCAGGGCCTCATGATGAGGGGGGATAAAGGCCCACCTCAGCACCCCTCACTGGAAAGAGGTTAGTGCCACCCCTGAGCCTGGGGCGGGTGCGGAGCAGCACTGCAGGGAATCCAGGACAAAGGCTGTCCTGGAGTCATTTAGTCCGGGACCAGGTCTTGAACTTTGCATTTCAGGACTGTCCTGCCCAATTCGGGACGGGTGGTCACCCCACCCTGTAGTCAAGCCCTAAGTCAGGATTTCCCCAACATAATAGCCAACATCAGATCTCATGTTAGACCTTCTTTGGAAACTTCTAACCTGCTCAATTCTGAAAGGTTAAGTAGAGAAATGTAAATGTCCACGATACAGGTGTGCAAAATGGTTCATCCCCAAAAGTTAAACGTAGGCCAGAACTAGTCTGGTTTATCTTCTTTTCCCTTTCGGATATTAGAAACCACACACAATTTTAAAATGATGCTACTAGAAGGGGATGGATTACTCAGAACCTTGGGACATGGAACACTCTGCCTGTCCCTTCTTGTTCACTATTTTCAATTCAGAGCAGTTCAGCAGACACCAAAAGTCTTAACCATTGGCTTACATTAAATGAGTTGGTGTTCTGAGCCCACCTCTCAGTGGACAGGTGTCCACTGCACAAGACACATGCATCTGCCTCCCTTGTTGGTAGTCTCAGCTGAGAGGCCAAGGATCTACATACCCTGTTGCTAGAAGTGATGCCTCCATGTCAGAGTGCAGGCACGGGGAGGTGGGGTGGAAGGGGGGTCACAGTGTGAGGAAACCTACATTGCTGTTGTCCATGCTGTAGCACTTCAGGAGACAGAGGATTTCGTTTTGAAAGGTGTCAGTCCAGAACTTTTCACTGGCACTAACCTCACTTTAAAAAGCATACACATACACACACACGTTTGTATATCTATATCTTTGCACACATGAGACATACAGAGCACTCAGATGTAATGAAGAGGTGAAAACAGAAAAGTATTCATACCAAACCAGGAAGAATAGGTGCAAGCCACATGTGTCTGCCATCACCACTGTCATTAACTCTGTCAATCAGTTTGTCTGGAGTTCGGATATCTCCACACACCCCCTCTAAAATGTTGACACTGTCTGGAAAAGCAGCAATGTCTGAAACAAAACTTAAGCTTAACTAACCAAACAGGAAGAGTCAAAAACACCATCATTTTACAACCTATGTTTTTTCTACCAGACTTTGTCATAAATGTATTCTCTTTAGCAGTATAAATTATAAAATCCTTCCTACAGCTAGGCTGATTGGAGGACATTTATTGGTGACCTTGTCAGTTAACTGAAGAATTTAGGGCCAGATTTTCAAAGGTATTGGAATAAACCAGCAGATGGCACCTAAGTGCGAGCAGCCAAGTCCTGGAGGATCAGTGGCCTACAGGGACAAGAAGTCAGAGGAGTCCATGGCAGCTGGGACGAACTGGGGGGTGGGTGCCATCTTGTCTGTAGTATGTGTGTGTGTGTGTGGGAGGCGCTTTGGTGGAAAGAGGAAGGATTGTGTTTCCCTTGGTGTGGGTGTGCATGAGTCTGGGGGAAAGGACAAGTTGCGAGCACTTCAGACTCAGACTCGCTAGTATCCCGAGGGCAGGTGATGACCAAGCAGTCAAAAAGCAGCGCCCCACCAGGCTGGAGGCTCAGATTGAGCAGCCACCAGAGAGCAGTACACCTCACCAGGCTAGTGCAGCTCAGCTTTATGTGCCCCACCAGTGGGATTAGAGGCCTTGGGTGGAGGAGCTAAAGGTTTTGGGCACCTCCAGAGGCAGGAGAAGGGATTCTGCTGTTGTTTCATTGTTGTTGTTGAATTCCCTTATGTTTCTCACTACATTTAGCCCATTGGTCTGTACACATTCCCATGCCTAATATTCCTGTATAGAAATGGCTACAAAACTCCTGTGTAATTCAGTTTTGTGCCAGGAGTTTCTGGACCTCCATCAGCAAAGGAGGCAAATGCCAGACCTGGCAAGGAATAGGTGCACGCTCACTATCTAAGGACATCTCCAGCATATGGGGAAGGGGGTGTTTGGCCTAGTATTTAGGAGCCTATTATGATTTTTGAAAATGCCTACACGGATTAGCAAAAAGAAAAGGAGTACTTGTGGCACCTTAGAGACTAACCAATTTAAATAAATAAATAAATAAATAAATTCATATATAAATAAATAAATAAATAAATTGGTTAGTCTCTAAGGTGCCACAAGTACTCCTTTTCTTTTTGCGAATACAGACTAACACGGCTGTTACTCTGATACATGGATTAGATATGCCTAACTCCCACTGATTTCAAAGTAGGTATCTCTGACTTCATAAACACAGTTCCATCTTCACAGATGAGAGTTTCCTCTCCATACTCTCTGTGATGGACCCAGTTTTTTTAGGATGAATTTAGGAAGGTTCCTTGTGTGCAACTCGGTTCAGGGGATGTCCATGGAAAAAATAATCATCCCCAGGGGTCCAAGCAGGCTTTTATGATCTCTTTGAGCTTTGGATCTAGAATGCCATACCTTTATAGTTTTGATAACCATTTGCCCAATGGTGGTCTGTATGAGTAATCCCAGGCACATCAGTGAATGAGTGGGTGTGAGGCTGCCCTTGTCATGATTTAGCATAAATCTGAAAGATAACAGCACCCTAATGCCGGTGTTTGTTGTCTGTTGCAATTCAGTTCTGTATCTTGTCTTTGACAACTAGATAAGGGAACAAATGAATTTCTTTGGTTCTGACTTGAGCCACAATTGTTCCCATACCTCTGTGAATATGCTCAGAGATGTCTGAAGCGTGAAGATTCAAATCTATCACTGCCTGAATGATCTTATAAAAGTAAGAGTTTATTTACTATGACTTACTGTTCTAGTGGTAAGGTGACATGTGTCTCTGGATAGAGAAGTAGATGGTATGTACTATTAAATGCGTTAACTTTACATTGGCTTGTGGTTTTGTAATAAGTAATGCAGTATTTTTGTCTGCAGATAAATAAATACTTCCTCAGCAAGGGGAACAGTCTGCCATGCTTGTCAAGACACTATATTCTAATATTATTATCAGTCAGGAGAAGAGGATTCAGACTTCTTTACAGGGACCATTCAACCACAAGCTCTTTTTTTACAAGACAGATTTAGGAAAAGTCTTCCTGATCTTGGATCACTTTCAGAAGTTTAAATCATTGGTTCTCCCAAAGCTTTGAGACCATCCAAAAAATCTCAGCCTTCCAATTCTTGCAACTTCTGGAAACCATGGTTTCCTGTGAAAACAGAGTTTAGTGGGCCATGCTGCATTTTTGAGATCTGCAGCATTTTCTCCTGAGTAACTGGAGCTACCAATCTGACAGCAGAAACAAACTGCTGACTCTTCCTCGTCCCATTCAGACTCACAGCAATGAGGACTCTCAAGGAATCTGCTCTTGAGAAAATGTTTCTTGGAACCACTCTCTACATAACCAGTTACAAGCCTCTCCAGCTAGAGAGACAGAAAGCCAATTTGTTTAAATCAGTGGACAGCTGGGTAGAACTGGTATCACTATTGCGGAGGATGAGGGGTTACTTCAGGAAGAACTGCACCAGGAGCTACATCTCAATACCAAGGTGGAATGGTCAGAGCAGTGGTGAGCAACCTGCCGCCCACGGGCTGCACACAGCCCATCAGGGTAATCCACTGGGAGCTGCTCGCGGCCATGCCTGTGGATGGTCAATGTAAACAAACGGTCTCGTGGCCTACCAGTGGATTACCCTGATGGGCCACGTGCGGCCCGCAGACCGCAGGTTGCCCACCACTGGATTAGAGAGTGAGAACACCCTAAAGGAGCACATGTGTGGAGGAGCAGAAGAAAATGGAAATCTTGAGTTAGGGATCTCAACCAGGACAAAAGTCCGAAAGACTTGGTGTATCTGCTAATTTTGGAGAACTGCTCCTCCCACTGCAGGGATGTGAGGGAATATGCTGAAGGAAAAGTACAAAGGAAGGGAGAGAGATCCTTTTCTTGAGCAGAACAAGGGAAGAAGCTTTGAAGCAGAAGCTGGAGTTTGAGTGTCAATCATACCTTGGAGCAGTGGGTTACCCAGAGGGAAAAGAAGCTGGAGACTGAGGCTAGTGAGCTCCTGAAACTGGCCAATGAAGCATTAGCCTATACACTGTGGCAGAAGAAGCTGTGTTGCAGTGAAAACTGGTCCAGGACTGTGAAGGATGGTGTGACCAGGATACTAAAACATGGGTGGAGACCTGCATTCACATGCTGAGCGCAGAAGTCGATTAATGGGAAGCTGATGTAGATACAGGGGAGTTGTTTGACCCCTCGAGGCTCCAGAAAGGCCTTCCAAGAAGGACAACTGGCTGTTTGTCAAAGGACCGGGCATCCCATGGCATGAACACTCAGAACCAGTGTACAGAAGAAGCTGCAATAATGGCAGTAGTACCCAGCAGACCTATATAATAATGAGCTGGAGGGAACTGGAGGAGAAGGCTGCTATGACTGATGGGAACTGGGCTGAAATCCCCGAGACATGCTCTTTATGGGAAAGGTTCTTAGTGCAAGTGATAAAGTGGGAGCAGAGGCTAAAACCCCTCAGAGCTGAAAAGGAGACTGGGGAACAGCAGTCTTTATTGCTATAGAAGGAGCTAACTATACTCCAGAACCAGCTTAATGTCAAGCAAGGGTTGAAGTCTGACTTGGAGAAGGATAAAGAACTAGAGGGCCTAAAGGCTGAAGTGGCCACCCTGCAAAAAGATCTGAAATATTGCAGAGTAAGGCTATACAGAATGAGAACAGGCTGGTGAAGGAGGTACAACAGTCAGCTGAAAATAAGAGCTGCCCTGCTAAAGCTATAAAAACATGGGACCATGAGAAAACTGCAAGACAAAGCCCCAGCCACTATGCTACTAAATTGAAGGTACCTACCCCGAAGAATAATGAAAACTTGTGTGGTTCTGTGGTCCAGAACATCATTCAAAAATATTCTGGGTGCAGGAAGAAGGGCAATGGGGGCTGCTGAGTGAGCTGTTAAAAGCTGTAGAAAAATAAAAGGGTGACATTCTTAGTATTCAAAAATCCTGAGAGAGGTATGAGCTTGAATAAAGACAGTTTTAATTCTGAGAGGTGTGCTTGTGTCTGCTGTAGCCAGGGAGGCTCCTCTCCAAGAGAGCAAGAGGCTGCCTCAGACCAATGTAACCATGGTAAAAGCCCAACATTGTTGACTGCATTCAAGAAGCTCATCTCTTGCATCCCGATTTCTTTCCATTTAGTGGTAGTTTGGAACCGTGAATCTGTGCCAAGGCACACAAGCCAACAAAAAAAATAAAAGTAAAATAATAAAAATAAATTAAACAATCAAAATGAACAGCTCTAGTCTAACTAAACTAAATAGATAACTAGCTCAATCAGCAGGCACTGGGAACAATCTGTTCCAACAAATCCAGGTTATCTTAAGCTGGTGAAATTCCTGGTCCGTCTGCTACTGTGGTTGTAAGGAACTGAGGCAGCTGGAGCCCACCCCTCCCTTCTATAGCTTTGCCTTCAGAACATTCAAGAACAGTGAGGGGAGGGGCAGGAGGAGCCATGAGAATGCTCTAATGGGCACTACTATGAAAAGGATCCACCAGTCCAAGCTGCATTGCCAGGCCCATCCCAAGAGCCGGAATGTGAAGAGGCCACTTGATGAAGCAGCAACATTATGAAATTCTGCCTCAATAATTATCACCAAAAACTCAAGAGCAATCACAGCAGTTAGTCAGGAGAGGTAATACTGCACTTTTTGTATAGGTCAGCAGATGATGGTAGGATAGGGTCCATCAAGGACTGAAGAGAGTGTGTATGCAAGATAAAGGGAAGCTCAGTCTGGTAAAGGATACTGTTTTCAGTGAGTAAGATTTTGTCTCCATGTTCGTTATACAACTCTAGTCCATTCAAACCAATATAGTATGGATCACCCCAGCTCGTTAGAAGCTGAAACTGGAAAATAACTGAAAGATGTTATTAAGGAAAATTTTGATTCCAACGTTTTTTCTATTTCAGAAGAAAGTTATAAGAGAATAGTAAATCTCTACGGTGAATAAATGACTGTGCAACCTTTGCTCTGCCCACTTGTGTGTATGCATTATGATACTGTCTTTAATTACTGGGACACACATTATTTAGTACATCATACATTTTTTTCTACAGCCTTATTTACGTGGGTAACATCTTGCATTATTCTTTTTCATTCTCTTATTACTTTCAATAATTCATTGTCATAATGGTGAAATATTCCTTCCTTGACTTAGACTGCTTCTGCCATAAATTGTCTTCTCTCTAATTAATAATCTGCATTCACATACTGTACATATTCTTTTCCTCAAGCATCACAGTCTTCCCTAGGTGCAGGTCACATGATGAGCCAGCTAACTATGAAACTAAATAAGCTATGCACAAATACTCAACACAGGTATCCTGATTTGCAGTTCAGGAGAGGATTCAGGTAACTATAAAGCCCACTTAGCTAACAGCTTATGTGGGCTACAATTACTTGGAATACAGATACATGATCGTGATGCCACAGGGGACAATTATGATAATCTAGTCTCGTCTCTTTCATAATACAAGGCATAGAATTTATCCCAGTAATTCCTATGCCAAGGACAATAACTTCTGATTGAACAAGATCATGGCATTTTAAAAAAACATCCAGTTTTGATTTAAAGAGTTCCAGGTGATGTGGAGTCCACTACTTCCTTTGGTAAGTTGTTCCAATGGTTAACCACCTTCACTGTTAAAAAAACTGTACCTTACTTCCAGTCTGAATTTGACTAGCTTGAACTTCCAGCCACCGGACTTTTGATTAAATAGTTTGTGCTAAGTGAGATTTGAAGACCTTGCATCACCCTTTTAAGTCCTTGTGCTGGACTAATCCCAGACCCACATAGTAACTGGGAATAGGAATTGCCATCCTGGATCAGGCGAGGGTCCATCAAGTCCAGACTTCTGTCTCCAACAGTGGCCAGGGCCAGATACTTACCACAAAAGTGCAAGAACAGTACAGCAAAACAGTACGCAGATGTGGGATAATATGCATCTCCTAAGTATCAGAGGGGTAGCTGTGTTAGTCTGTATCCACAAAAACAATGAGGAGTCCGGTGGCACCTTAAAGACTAGCAGATTTATTTGGGCATAAGCTTTCATGGGTAAAAAAAACCCACTTCTTCAGATGCATGGAGTGAAAATTACAGATACAGGGAAAAATATACTGGCACATGAAGAGAAAGGAGTTAACTTACAAGTGGAGAACCAGTGTTGATGAGGCCAATTCAGTCAGGGTGGATGTGGTCCACTCCCAATAACTGATGAGGAGGTGTCAATACCAAGAGAGGGAAAATTGCTTTTATAGTGAGCCAGCCACTCTCAGTCCCTATTCAAGCCCAAATTAATGGTGTTAAATTTGCAAATGAATTGTAGCTTTGCAGTTTATCTTTGAAGCCTGTTTTTGAAGTTTTTTTGTCGAAGTTGGCTACTTTTAAATCTGTTATTGAATGTCCAGGGAGATTGAAGTGTTCTCCTACTGGCTTTTTTTATGTTATCATTCCTGATGTCTGATTTATGTCCATTTATTCTTTTACATAGAGACTGTCCGGTTTGGCCAATGTACATGGCAGAGGGGCATTGCTGGCATATGAAGGCATATATCACATTAGTAGATGTGTAGGTAGATTAGTAGATGTGAGCCCCTGATGGTGTGGCTGATGTGGTTGGGTCCTCTGATGGTGTCGCTAGAGTAGATATGGGGACAGCATAGGCAATGGGGTTTGTTACAGGGATAGGTTCCTGGGTTAGTGTTTTTGTGGTGTGGTATGTAGTTGCTGGTGAGTATTTGCTTCAGGTTGGGGGACTGTCTGTAAACGAGGACTGGTCTCCCAAGGTCTGTGAGAGTGAGGGATCATTTTCCAGGATAGGTTGTAGATCGTTGATGATGTGCTGTAGAGGTTTTAGCTGGGGGGCTGTACGTGATGGCCAGTGGTGTTCTGTTATTTTCCTTGTTGGGCCTGTCCTGTAGTAGGTGACTTCTGGGTACCCGTCTTGCTCTGTCAATCTGTTTCCTCACATTCCGAGGTGGGTATTGTAGTTTTAAGAATGCTTGATAAAGATCTTGTAGGTGTTTGTCTCTGTCTGAGGGATTGGAGCAAATGCGGTTGTATCTGAGGACTTGGATAAGGATAATGGATTGCGTGATGTGTCCTGGATGGAAGCTGGAGGCATGTAGGTAAGTATAGCGGTCAGTAGATTTCCAGTATAGGGTGGTGTTTATGTGACCCTCACTAATTTGCACTGTAGTGTCCAGGAAGTGGATCTCATGTGTGGACTGGTCCAGACTGAGGTTGATGGTGGGGTGGAAATTGTTGAAATCCAGGTGGAATTCTTCAAGGGCATCCTTCCTGAGGGGCGATATCATGAAGATGTCATCCATGTAGTGCAAGCAGGGGAGGGGCACGAGGGGACGAGAGCTGAAGAAGAACTGTTCTAAGTCATCCATAAAAATGTTGGCATACTGTGGGGCCATACGGGTACCCATAGCAGTGCCACTGACTTGAAGGTATAAGTTGTCCCCAAATCTGAAATGGTTATGGGTGAGGACAAAGTCACAAAGCTCAGCCACCAGGTGTGCCGTGGCCTCATCAGGGATACTGTTCCTGACAGCTTGTAGTCCATCCTCGTGTGGAATATTGGTGTAAAGAGCTTCTACATCCGTGGTGGCCAGGATGGTGTTTTCAGGAAGATCACCAATGCATTGTAGTTTCCTCAGAAAGTCGGTGGTGTCTTGAAACTAGCTAGGAGTGCTGGTTGCGTAGGGTCTGAGGAGAGATTCCAAATAGCCAGATAATCCTGCTGTAAGAGTGCCAATGCCTGAGATTATGGGGCATCCAGGATTTCCAGGTTTATGGATCTTGGGTAGTAGATAGAATACCCCTGGTCGGGACATCTCCTTACCACAAACAGAGAGAGGCTTGAGCCCTGAGAAGCAGGGGGATTTATAGCCTTTTAAACCTTATTTTTAGTGTTTACTGTTATAACATTGAATAGATCTGATATTTGTGGAAATGTCCAATCCTTCTTTGAATCTCATTAACTTCTTTGCCTAAGTGACATCCTGGAGCAATGAGTTTGTGTGAAAAAGTATTGCCTTTTATTGCTTTTGAATTCACTGTCTCTCAATTACTTTGAATGTCATCTTCTTCCCACTTGGATAGAGGGAGAAAAGAAGTTCCCAATCCAACTCCTCTATTTGGGAAAATTTATTTTAAAATATATAATTAACATAGTTTAGTACAAACCATAGTTACGTCCTGACCTACATTCATGTCAATAGTTTTTGTCCTTCCTATTTAAATCATATCCAGCTTTATTCTGTATAGAGGATTATAAAAACAAGAGGCAGTTTTTAGAATTGATCCTGAATTAGAGACAGAGCCAGTGGAGAGTTTGAAGCTGGGGTTGCATATTCATGCTTTATTGTACATGCAATTTATATTTATTTGTATTTTAATGATGCCTCTCTCATGCTTTAGGTACCTCACTTAAATTAAAACAAAGCCAGCTAGAGGAACTCTGAAAATGCTGGGGTCAAGAGAGCAGGGATTCAGGGAGACCAAAAAGAACAGAATTGCAATACCCATAATAATAATAATAAAAATAATCACAAGATACTAAACATAATAATACAAGTGAGAAAATGATAGGAAAGGATACAACCACATGGCATCAATGGTGCTTCATAGTCCATACTAGCTTGTTCCATCCCCCTTGCATTAATTCTGCCAAAATACACAAGAAAAATGTTAAAATCCTGACATATTTAGTAAAGAACAGACACTCTCCACCAACCCCCTTACCCCCCAAAAACACACCAAAAAACAAAAACAAACCAGTGAATTTGGAGAATTTATCCATCTGCTTTCAGCACAGGAATTCTCTGAGAAACTACAGGAAGAAGAGGGCCTTATTTTCACAGCTGAGTGCAGAACTCCACATCTATTTTGTATACACATTTATTTCTCCATGCTAATTGTCCACTGTGCATCTAGTTGGCCACTTGCACATACAGTCTTTGTACGCACACATGAAAATTAGGCACACAACTGAGGGCACATTTAAGTGCATGTAATTTTAAAAAAGTATGCCCAAAGTACTTGATATTTGTATCCATGCACTTCATAATGCATCTGCTCCAGGGAGGCCCATCCAAACAGACTACCGTCAAGGATTAGGTAAGAGAATATGTAAGATTTAGAATAGTAAGAACATTCTACTTTACCTGCCATATGGTCTGATAATCTGTTGGGGCTTCAAGTAGTCAATGAAGAGAATTTCTTGAGCAAAGTCAAAGTGACAGTTGCCTGGTCCCTTTCGGATAAGAAAGCCCTCTGTCGGGGAGATACAATGTCCATCCAGCGAGACATGGACAACCTTAGCCTTGGGAAAGAATACCTTATTTTAACATATGGATCTAAAAAAAATATGTTTTAATTTCACTGACTGAAACAACTTGATTATTAAAGATACTTTTGTTGTATTGCACTTATTTCATCTCCCTTTTGACAAATTCGTTGGAATCTGAATTCTTACAAAAAACAAGGCGTAAAATACATATACCTCACTAGTGACACAAGAAATGTAAATCAAAATGTCATTGAGACAAAAATTCCCAGGAATAATGAGAGTGCTCACACTCAGAGCTTAGCTTCCAATATGCTAATTTTAATTCCTAGTAAAATTCCATTAAAAAAACCCTTCATTTAAAAGGGGCTGAGGCTGGTTAAGAGTGACATCCCACAACACCAAACCTAAAAAGCAAGGAAGTAAGGTATGAGACATTGCTATGATCACTATTGAGCCTGTGTGAAGTACAGAGGCTCTCGGTAGAAGTGCTGAATTTTTAAATTTTAAATTTGAATTTTAAAAGTAAAAGATTTTATTTTAATAAAGGTATCACTTTTCCCTAGATTGTTGTTACATTGCTGTTTAAAGTTAGTAAATTTGGTTTTACTAGCATCAGCAAAATACGAACTAGTAGCTACTTAAGTAACTGCTTTCACCTGTAATAAGAAAGGACATCTGTTTAACCTCAGAATTAAGAGGAAGAGAGTTCAGCTTTGTGCTCTGGAATGCAAGGTTGAACGTTTGAGGAGTGACTGTTTATAATCCCAGTTTTTGTCAGATCTGCAGTTATTAAACTTGTTTGGGGTTTGGGTTTACCCTGAGGGATGTCACACCTACCCACCTTCATCCTTTTGAAGAAAGTTTTTGTTTACGGAAATTCCTTGCTTTTTAATACAGTAAGTGTTGCAGGGCTCTGGGAGGCATATAAGAGGAGATAGGGATGCACTCCACGTCAACTTTTGCCATGTATATGGGAATATGGATGGAGCAGGGATGCTTGCAGTGAGAGGAAAGAGTGCAGAATGCAGGGAAATAACACAGCTGGGCTCTTGGTAGTTGCCTTCTAGTTTTAGCCTTTGGTGTCATGTTTCCTGGCTCTTCCCAAAAACTAAGAATGTTAGAAATGTCCTTTTAAAAAATGATAGCTAAAATTCAGATGTATTCACATGACTCCAGGGGCAGAGGCATTAAGAAACACACCAAATATCACACAACTCGTAACAAAATTGTGAGGGTTGGCAGCACTGAGCCCCAGCACTGCAGCATGTAACTTCTCTCTCGGGGAGCTCTTTCCACTGCTCTCCAGCATAGTCGAGGATTGTGTCACAGACTATCTCCCTGCAGTTTCCTAGCCAAAGCATAGATGGCAGCCATCTTTTCTGGGAGCAGCCTGTAGCAGCAGCCCCACCGGAAATGAAAGAGCCAAAAGGTAGCCATCTTGAGTTGGTACAGCCTTACATTCAGATGGCAAGCAGGACTCTTAGATGTACTATATTTCAGTTGAATCAGGCTCCCAATTTGGAGAGGAGAGAGAGAGAGAGTCCAATCCAAAAATCTACTTTAGCCTAAGGAAAGAAGCATGGAGCTGGGTGCCAGGAGAGCCCAGGCTGAAATCTCACCTATTCTACTCACTGCTGCTTATATTTGTGTGCATTTTACAGCTCTTATTACTGAGCCATACCTCAAACACCTATTTGAGAAGGCAGTCAAGTATCAGGCATCCCATTTTACCAATCAAGTAGCAGAACTGCACAAGTTAATTTCTAGCACAGTTGGGAATAGAATCCAGTCCAATAATTTGACAGAATTTAGTCTCAACTACACTGACAAACTAATGTGAAAAGTTATCCGGTTAATCATCAGTAGGCCACCCCACCCCAGAGCGAGGACTAGAACCCAGTATTCTACAGCTGACTAACAAATAGTTACTTAACCCACTGGAAACAGGTACATGTCACTTTCCCCTCTAGTGGTTGCTCCACTGAGAGAACAGTTATTCCTGCACTTCAGGCGCTAGAAAGATGGGCTGGGAATGTGATGGTCTGTGGTTCAAACTCTGCTGTGACCCTCACAGGGCTCCCTGATGGCTGCACAGTAGAAGTCGTGATTTTCCAAAAATTACAAAAAGGCTTATTTAATTCACACAGTGAGAAAATATCCTTAGACAAGTTTTAATCTGCCAACTAAGGTGAATGTGACATGTAACAAAAAACAGTTGTTCCACATTTGGGTCATATTTCACACATTTTGTTCACTGATGTCACACACTGGCCATTTGGTGGCTGAGAAATTTGGCAGCACAGTTTTTAATGAAATGGGGGCCATTTTTCTGAGGGTAGCCTGTGGCTTCAGTCCCGTTGGAAAAAATGGGAAATAGTGGCAATTTTACTAAGCTCACTCCCCTTTCACTTTGGAGCAAATTCTATGGCATCTGAGTTCCTGACTGTTGAAAACAGATTTCTTGGTGTGTCTAGGATGGTTGTTGAATCTGTGGAGGTAAGTGTGGTGATCCATGGGTTTCTTGTACATAGTCATGTGTATGGTTCCATTACTGTTGCTAATTATGGTGTCCAGGAAGTTGATGCTGTGTGGCAACGTTCTAGAGAGAGTTTCATGGATGGGTGGTGGTTGCTGAAGTTGTGGTGGAAATCTAGGAGAGAATTTAGGTAATCTGTCCAAACGATGAAAATATCATTGATGTATCTCAGGTATATCATTGATTTTGTGGTACCTTTCTCCATAAATTCTTCCTTGAGGTAGCCCATGAAGAGGCTGACATATTGGGGAGCCATCCTAGTACCCATGGATGTTCTCATGGTTTGGACAAGGTGTTGTGACAGTCTGTAACCTTATGTTCACCACTTTTACAAGACTATGACAAATTTTGTACAAAGTATGCCTTGTGAGGTATCATTTGAAAACTCATAATCTGATGAACATTATTGTCCTGGTAAAATATGTGTGGCAACATTGTATGTAAAGTTGTTAAGTTCTATTGTATATGGCATGTTCCAACTCTGGTGAAACAGCCTCAAACCACTTCCCCAGAGACAAAAAGCTAGCCAGCACCACAGCCAGCGTAATCATATGGACTATCACTTGATTAAGCGGCCACTCTTTGGCAGGAAGAAGGGTGTGAGCAAGACATTTATATCTTAGCAATAGAACAGCTGAAAGTTACAGTCCAACAAACTTTTGGTTGCCTGAACCCCAGCTGGAAATGATTCTCAAAGAGGAGGAAAAGATATAAAAATGAGGAACAAATCACCTGTCATCCCTTTCTCTCAGATCACAACATCCACAATATCTGAAGGAGAAGGAAATGAACATTGAACTGGGGGATGGATCCTGACTGAAAGGCATTCAGCCAGTAAGACAGCAAAATCATGTGGTGAGAGAGACATTTTGCTTCAAATTCACTTTGCTTGTTAAGTTTGCAAGGTATTATTTTGCATTTTACCTTTTATTTCTTTGTAACCAATTCTGACTTTTATGTCTCATTACTTGTAATCATTTAAAAGCTATCTTTCTATAGTTAATAAATGTGTTTTATTGTTTTATCTCAACTCGGGTGTTTAGGTTGAAGTATTTGGGAACTTCATTTGGGATAACAAGGTTTGTACATATCATTTTTTATTATGAACTTTCTGTGAGCTTGTATTATCCAGGAAGGTATTGGGCAGTACAAGCAGCACATTTCTGGGGGAAAGTCTGGAACTGAGAATTTGCTGGTGTTGCGCTACAGTGTAATTCATGGGTGGCAGGGTGGCTGTCTGAAGCACTTTTGCAGTATAGCTGGGGATAATTTATATGCTGTGAGTGGGCAGGCCAGGAGTGGTTGCTTTCATAGCGAAGCAGTGTAAAAGGCACCCCAGGAAGGAGAACTGAGGGGACACAGCTGTCAAACAGTCCAGCTTGTACCCTGGGTAATGTCACAGATGTCTGTTGTTAAATAGGAATTTGTGGGTGAATATGAAATGGATGACAGGTTTCAGAGTGGTAGCCATGTTAGTCTATATCAGCAAAAACAGCAAGGAGTCCTTGTGGTACCTTAGAGACTAACAAATTTATTTGGCCAGATTGGTCACTTCAATCTCCCTGGCCCTTTGTGTGGTGAGTTTTTTGAGGATGGTTTCTATGAGTCCTGATATTCCTTCACTAAGTGTACTGTGGCCAGATGTGATGGGTCTGCCTGGGTTCCCTTGACAGCTTGATGACGTTGGGGTGTAGTGCAGTGTCCATATGGTGGGTCCTGGTGTCATTGTTCCTCCCAGGCGTGGTGTTCTGTAGACTGTGGAGCTGGTGTAGTTTGTTTTTGTGTTTGATGGCTGTCATCAGTTTCTTTTTATAATCGTTTTGGGTTTCCTGCATGATCGCCATGTAGATTTCCGGATTGTTTTCTTCCAGTGTGTGGGAGTATGTGATGATTTCTTGTTTGAGGTGGTCTCTTCTGGGGTATATACGTATGTATGTCATGATAAGATTACTGTGGAGAATGTGATAAGTTACTGCGCTTAGATAAGGAATCACCCTCAGTGGAGGTATGTGAGGCTGACTAGCTTCTCTGCTATTATATGTAGGGAATAGGCTAGATGCCCATTAGAGGTCCCTGCAAATCCAAATAATTTTCTATCAGTTCTCAGTTCTTAGAATTAACTAAAATGATTCCATAGGGCTTATGTTCACTGCCATAAACTGTAGATTATACACACTATCCATTCCTATAGAGTGGATGGGAGTTGTAAGACCTGTTTGACATGCCTAAGGCTTGAGGTTTTAAATGTAATGAAGTCCCACAACAACTGAGGCATCTTTTAGAAAGAAATTCCTGTTGGCATTTTATACAGTGATAAAATAAACAAAAATAGAACAAAAATTACCTCCAGCTAAGAGAGCACATGGAAGCCCGGGCCCCACAAACTGCTATCAGTATCTCTCCTAATTAGATTTTCTATGAAAGAGTGGCCCACATTCTAGAACCTCAATACTTTAGGAGCTAATGCCATATGGAAGGCGTCCATGCTGAGTCCTCTCCCCACCTAGTATTTACACCTACCCATTTGTTATTATCAGGCCCTGTGAATTTCTTAGAACTATCTCTGCCTCTTTTTCTTGTATTTGTTGTTTGTGAAGGAAGACAGCAAACCTGCCATTAAATCTGCCATTAAACTCAGAGTCAGATAATTTAGAAGGATTTATGCTATTACATTAAAGCAGCGACATTCATTTATCAAAGTACACATTTTCTAATGGGTGGTTAAACACTTCTGCTGGCAGTGCCACTTTCTTTCACTCACCCCTCTATAGGTATCCTCTGGAGATTTATTATAGTTCCAAAAGCGAAGCCCTGCAATATTTTCAGCTTTATCAAAATGGATTGTGATCATGTGATCTTCCCCATAAGTGAAAGGAATAAGCCACATATGATTATCTTCAACAGTGATGTTAGTCCCATCTATTAACCTACAAACAGAAAAATCCTTTAGTGATAGACTGGCAATTGTTAAGCAACGGAAAATAGCAAGAGAAAACAGTATACAGAAGAGGCCCAAAACTGATCGCAGGAAAACCTGTGCCTTATTTCTATTCTGAATTTGAGTAGCCAGCCTCCAGACATTAGATTTTATTATGCCTTTGTCTGAAAGTTAAAAAAGCACTCTACACTATATCATCATGTAATTAAAAACAGTGAGTAAAATTTTCTAAAGTGTCTAAATCACTTAGGTACTTTTGAAAATTTTACCCAGTATCATACTTACAAGAAGACAAATTAATGTTGAGTTAGGTAACCTTAATTCTGGCATTTCCTAACTTTTGATTGTTTGACTTCATAATTTAATATTTTAACTAGTGTTTTATATGTTTATATTTCATATATGTGAAAGGGGGGCAGGGAGAAAGAGAATATATATGGAAAAAGATAGAGAACACTATGTAACCTGATAAACGAGCGTAAAAGGAGAAAGAAGGAAAAGAGGAAAAAGACTGAGCAATCATGAGGTATGATTGCCATAAGTATAGGCTTACCCATGCTAGGTTTTAGCTTGCTAAAAATTGCAGTGAATATGTGGCAGCATGAGTGGAGGCTAGCCTGTAGTTGCCACCTGGGCTGCCATGGCTTCAATGCTATTTTTAGTGAGCTAGCTGGATCAAGGCTAGCTGGCTACACCTACATATGCTGCAGTTATATGCGGGCCGAGGGACGTACCGGCTGCCGCTTCCCGCAGCCCCCATTGGCCTGGAGCGGCGAACCGTGGCCAGTGGGAGCCGTGGTCAGCCAAACCTGCGGACGCGGCAGGTAAACAAACTGGCCCGGCCCGCCAGGGGCTTTCCCTGAACAAGCAGTGTCCCAAGTTTGGGAAACAATGCAGTAAATGAATGTGGTTCTCAGTTTTGCATTTGGTGAATATATTTTCATCCTGGTTAGTAAGCTAGGTCCTTAAGCTAGATGATATCAGTCTTCCTTTTTTAGGCATTAAAAGGACAGCAATTGTAATTACCTCAGTTTAGAGCAGACGTATAATCTAAAAAGAAGAATGAGGTTTCAATGCAATAACTTTTAATGATTAAAACTTTATGATTGCAAAAGTGAACCACTCAAAAACCAGGAAATGACAAAGTTAATGTTGCCCATGTAGTCTTAACTCTGCCCATGTGTTTATGCAGCATGATACAAGCTTTAATTAAATCACTGCACAGTATGATTTCCGAGAACCTCTGCAGTGTATGTGTAGAATCATACCCACTGAAGGAAAAGGTGTGATAGATTTATTTCTAAATAACTTAAGTCTGAAGTAAAATAACATTACACTAAGTACTTATTACAAATATTTTAAAGAAGTCAAAATTAATTGTTCATAGTGATGTTACTATTTGTAATAATTTTTTTACGTTTGTGCCAAAAGAGTGCTTCCTGCCTGACTTCTGAGTGCTTAATTATGCAACTGTAACATTTTCTTTCACAAGTTATTTTAAGAGAATTCCTTAGGTTTGTTATTTTTAAAACATGAAAAATGGTACATCTGTCCTGTGCAAAATATTCACTTAAGGAAACAAGGTCTTGCCTAAGTCACTACATATTTTATTCTCTGAGGCAAGAACTCCAGTGTTCTCTTGTCTCACTGAACATGCTCCTTGCACCATTAAATGTTGTATGCACTGTGCACACAAGCTATTATTATTTGTAATGCAGTTACACCTAGATGGCCAATCAGGGATAAGAGCCCCATTATGGTAGGTGCTGTTTGTACATATGGTGAAAATGTGATCCTGCCCAAAGAATCCAATTAATTTTACAGAAAACTTTACATTCTAGGCACATAACATATTTCAAATGCATGAGCCATGCACATTGAATGAGGTGGAGCTACCAGGAAAACTACTTGAGCATGTGTGACATGCAGTTTTCATATGGACATAACTCAGCTCATAACCCATTTTCACTGGAAAACTGAAAGGTGTTTCTCCATAATGAAGACTATTTGCTTGACATAGTTCCAATGTTTACCTCTCTATTTTAGTGCACAGCTTTTTTTTTTTTTTTAAAAAGGGAACAAGAACCTATATTTGCTCAAACTTTCCAAAAATGATTAATACTTGGGCTGAGATCAGGTCTGCAAAATTGTACTGTATAGTCCAGTGGTGGGCAACCTGCGGGCTGCATGCAGCCCATCAGGATAATGTGATTGTGGGCAGCGAGACATTTTGCTGATGTTGACCATCTGCAGGCATGGCCCCCTGCAGCTCCCAGTGGGTGTGGTTCACCGTTCGCAGCCAATGGGAGCTGTGGGACGCGGCGGGTCACAGGGACGTGCTGGCACAGGATTCTGGAATCTGACACAGGTCATAGCTAATGATGGCACAGCTGCAAGTTTACATTATTATTAATTATTATTATTGTTTTGTTATTATTATCATCATGATATAGTAAGGGTTAAACAATTATACATTTTATAAATGTAAATTATATGTATTTATAAGAAGTTCTCATTCATTACCTCTAAAATCTCAGACTAATGAGAATATTGAGAAGACTATCATGGAAACAGCCCACACAGGACGAAACACTTCAGGAGATACTTAGCGTTTTCAGTTGTTTTCCTACTTACTTGTCTAATGTTCTGGAATCTTCCATGTACTCTGCAAGGTCATTTAAATCCTGTGGTGAAGCAGAAATCTGAGCCATAGTAATTGGTAAAGCCTGACCATCCTTTCCTACTACTTCAAGTCCAGTCAGTCCAAGATAATGTGAGTCTCCCCAGGATAAGGTGAAATTTAGCTGCAGACCTAAAAATAAGAATGAACACATACATATTTATCAGTCAGTAGCAGGAGGCACCAAAGAAATGATCCTAAAGCACATATTAGCACAGAGGTGGGCAAACTTTTTGGCCCAAGGGCCACATTGGGGTTGCAAAACGGTATGGAGGGCTGGGTAGGGAAGCTGTGCCTCCCCAAACAGCCTGGCCCCCACCCCCTATCTGCCCCCTCCCACTTCCCGCCCCCTGACTGTCCCCCTCAGAATTCCCAACCCATCCAACCTCCCCTGCTCCTTTTCCCCTGCCCACCCCCTCCCGGGACCCCCTGCCCCTAACTGCCCCCCCCCCGGAAACCCTCCCCATCCAACCCCATCTGCTCCCCATCCCCTATCCCCCCCGGGACCCAATCCAACACCCCCGCTCCCTGTCTCCTGACTACCCCACCCCTGAACCTCCGCCCATCCAACCGTCCCCTGTCCCCTGACTGCCCCCTGGGACTTCCTGCCCCTTATCCAACCCCCCGCTCCCCTTACCATGCCACTCCGAGTGGCAGGACAGGCTTATTAGAAAGCCTGTGAGGTGGGCGGGCGCAAGCTGTGCTGCCCCCGTGGCAGCATAACTACAGGGAAGGGGGGACAGCAGGGGAGAGGCCAGGGGCTAGCCTCCCCAGCCGGGAGGTCAAGGGCCGGGGAGAACGGGCCTGTGGGCTGTAGTTTGCCCACCTCTGTGCTAGCAGATCAGTTTATTAATCCAAACCTCCATAATTAGCATGCAACAAGAAGAAGCACCTCCTTTCATTTTTTTCCAGGTGCATCCAGAAAAGTTAAAAATAACAGAATGCAAGTTCAAGGGCTAAGACTTGCTAACAGTAACTGGAGATAGCAGGGGATCTAAGGAATCCAGGGTAGCTTGTTATCCACAACGATGCAGGAGTTTCAAAATGTTTAGGAGCGGGCATGCAAATGTAAACTCTATGCCTGCAAACTCAGCCCATCAAGTCCATTCAAACTGCTGCTAAGAGCATCTTCCTGACAGAACGCTCTTACGATGTCACCCCCACTACTGCCACCTTTTATGGTTTTATGCAGAGTCCCATGATTTTGACCCCTGCTGCAGGAGCTCTGGTGATGATGTGAAGAACTCATGCCCTCACACAATTTTGGAGCAGCTGGCTACACTTACCTCCATCCCACTTCCAGGAGCCACCTGATCCTCCTTTCCTTGTTCCTAGCTGTCACCTGCTCTCTTGCTCCTTTCCCCGTTCCTAGCTGCCACCTGCTCTCCCCCTCCTTGGTCCCAGCAAGTAGCTGCTTCCCTGCCCCTTCCCTTTCCCTGCCACCAACTGTCCCCACCCCACATGGAATTATGGAAAATAGATCCTATTAAACTAACTTGATTTTTTTTATGAGACTACAAGTTTGGTGGATAAAAGTAAGAGTGTTGATGTAATATACTTAGACTTCTGTAAGGCATTTTACTTGGTATCACACAACATGTTGATTAAAAATCTGAAAAAGATTTGGGGTGGGGACTGGATAATCAGTTGAACATGAGCTTCCATTGGGACGCTGTGGCCAAAAGAACTAATGAGATCCTGGGATGCACGAACAGGAGAATCTCAAGTAGGAACAGAGAAGTTATTTTATCCCTATATTTGGCACTGGTGCTATCACTGCTGGAATACTGTGTCCAGTTCTGGCACCCTCTATTCAAGAAGGATGTTGATAAATTGTACAGGGTTCCAAAAAGAGCCATGAGAATGACCAAAGGATTAGAAAAAACGCCTTATAGTGATAGACTCAAACTCAATCTATTTAGCTTAACAAAGAGAAGGTGACTTGATTAAAGTCCATAAGAACCTACATATGGAACAAATATTTAATAATAGGCTCTTCAATCTATCAGAGAAAGGTTTAACATGATTTAGTGGCTGGAAGTTAAAGCTGGACCAATTCAGACTGGAAACAAGGCATCCATTTTTAACAGTGAGAGTAACTAACCGTTGGAACAATTTACCAACTTTTGTGGTGGATTCTCCACCACTGACAATTTTAAAATCAAGAGAATTTCAGGAGGGGGAAGGCAACCTTTTTTGAGATCTGTACTGAACTAATCCCAGAGCTGCAGTGACAGCCTACCAACACATGGTGCCCCATGTCTGTGGGGATATGGGTCACCATTGCCATCTGGAAGCTGGCCATCCCCAAATGCTATTAGCCAACCAGTTTGGCATGGGGAGATTGACTGCTGGGGCCACTGTCATCTATGTATGTATTGCTATGGAAAAGGTACACTGGGTTACAGAGCTTGGTAATGCTCAGGGGGTCGTTAATAGCTTTGCACACTTGGGGTTCCCAAACAGTATAGGGGCCACTGATGGACTCAAGTGCCTATTATTTGGCACCCCTCTCTTCCTCCACATACATACTAGGATCTTTTGGAACTCAGCTCTTTTTACCTTAATGAATAATGGACAGTTTGCCTCCAGGATCACTATGGACATTGATGGTGGGAAGGTTGCTCCAGTTATCCTGGGAGACCTGGCTTATCCTCTGCTTCCCTGGTTAATGAAGCTGTTCACAGGATGCCTCAACAGAAGGAACAGTTCAACTATTGCCCTACTAGTTGCAGAATGGCAGTGGACTACACATCTGGCCATTTGAAAAGGAGGTGCTGCTGCTTCTGGAATAGGTTGGAAGCAGCAGAAAAAAAGTTCCAACAATTATCGCGGCATGTTGGATTTTGAACAATATTTGTGAGAGTAAGGGAGAAAGCCTTAACAATGGGTGGGGAGATGCAGAGGCGGAGATGCAGAGACTCACTCAGCAGTGTGAGCAGCCACCAAGGCACCCTACAGAAATAGCTGAGGCATTATTATCAGAGACGCCTACTGCTGTTATTTTGAGCCTCAGGGCCAAAAAATGTGCTGTGAATTATTTCAGGTTTAAGGATTTTCTATGTTAAATAGGATGATTCACTATGTATGAATTTTAACAGTTTTTATTATGTAACCACAATCAGCTATGTAACGAACTAAATAAAACTTTAACTGAAGCAGAAGCAATAATGAAACAACAATTTTTATTATTAATACATTAAACAACAATCTATTAACTAACAACTTAAAAGAAACCTTTAATTAAAACAATAGTGAAGTAAAAACAGAAAGTGCAGTATAAAACAAAACAAGGGGGAGGGTGGCTTAAAGTCACAGGGAAGTATACACCTTGCCTCTGTTTCGTCTTGTTTGAGGGCCTTCTGGAATTGAGTGGCAAGGCACAAAGTTACCAGGGGAGCTGGAAGGCTCAAAACAACCTTGCTTCCATGTGCAACTGTTCTCAGTGCCCAGATCTGCCTGTGGGAAAGGAACGGACACTGGGAGGACTGCCCAGGGGGAGGGGCTACAGTTGGGAGGAGTTGCTGCTGTTCCCAGTATCTCTTATTATCTAGGGGCTGCAGAACAAGGCTGAGTCCTGCTGTATGACACTTGCAGCACCTGCTGCCCTACATCAACATGTGTTGCAGCAGAGCATTCAGGCTTTACATTGCCTCCAGAAGTTGGCTCTGCATCTCCCATTCTTTGTCAATACTGTCTTTGGCCACAGCACCGCTCTCCCTCGAAACTGTCATGCTGCCCTTGACCACACTCTCTCTGGATCCTATGATCTCCCTGTAGAGCTCCCTCTCTTTTTCCCCTCTCCATTTTCAAATAACGTCTCCATCTCTCCGCTATTCTGGTTTTACTTTAGGACTTTGATGAGGTCCACAACATTTTTGTCCTGAGTCTTCCATTTTCTCCCCGGCAGGTTAGCCAGCAGCTCAGCTGTAGATAAAGATCCCGTCCTTGAAGGTCTGGCCGCTGCAGGTGCCATGGCTGTGGGAGTAAGAAAAAAAACAAAAGCAGTTATTGTTCCTATTCCAGACAGATTACAATAGCATTTTTATATGTATTTCTGATTTTATCTCACTGAGAGTCTACCCAGGTTGGGGAACCTCAGATATGGAGAGTGGTTTGTACATGAGGAGGGCTGGCTGCACTGGGATTTTTGTTTGTGCAGTATATACTATTTGGCTTTGCTGTTGTGCCTTGGAAGCTGGGAGCTGGGAATTATGTTCCTTGCAGGTTTGGTGTGCCGTAGAGGAGTTTATATGGTTTTGGAGGCCTTACCAGAGGGCGCCCAGCGGTGAGCTGAATAGTAATTCCCTCTACATTCCCTTTAGGTATCCTGACTCTCCACTGCACTGAGGTGGGTGACTAGAAGACAGAGAATGGCCTTACTCAAAAAGGCAAAGAGCAGACCAATGAGCTATGCTGTGAAGTTATTCCCCAAGACGGTTCCCCAAGAAATGCTGCAGAAATGGAAGAGAGTTGCGAGCTATTCTGGGGGGAATGACTGTGCAGATATCCCCCACAATATCTAGATGAATATCAAGCAATTGCGCCCTCTGTGCTGTGGGACTAAAAATGGTTGATAATCAGTACTTTAGTATGAGACAGAGGTTGTGACAGACGTCAATTTCTTACAATATCCTTAAAAAACCTTATTGAATTAAGTTTAAGTATCTTTGGGGTCCATTCTGTTAAATGCAAAGATTAAGTATTATTATGGGCCGGGATTGTATGTCACCTCTTTAGAGAGGGGATGGGATGAGAGGCCTGCAAGTTCAAAGAACTATATTGAAAATTTGCCAGATAAGAATGGCCTTTTGGGACAATATACGTTAAATGGATTTCCTGGGGAATAGGTAGGGGGAGGTTAAGGCAAATTCCCCACCTCTGGTTATGCAAAAAAACCTGCCTTTTGAAGCTACACCCTGAGGAGAGGGTTTTTGTCTGCTGATTTACCTGTTGCCAGAGAGTGGAGATCAAAGGCCTGAGCTGTATAAAAAAACAGATGAACTGCCACACTTGTTCTGGTTCTGAATCTGAGACAGTTATGAACTTGTAACCACTGGGAAAACCTAGTTGTGGGTTTTCAAGGACTTACAGCTAGCAGAACCTGAGGCTGGAGTTGGAGTGACCTCCAGTAAGCTTTTAAGCATGGGTGTGTGTGCTTTTATTGTTTTGATATGTTTTCTGTTTAATGCTTTGACCTTAAGAATAAATATGCTTGCATAGAAAGAGCTGTGTGGTATTTGGTAACTGAGGGTAATTACACTGTTTACAGCCTTTGGAGAGAAAGCAAAGCACAGATGCTGGCCTGTTTAGACAGTCTGGGTTGCTGGTGTATCACAGTGTAGGCAGGGAACTGTGCAGCCTGAAAAAGCCCTGATCAGGAAAGAGTGAGATGTAGCTCTCTGTCAAAGAGAGGTGATGGCTGGGGGCCAGAAACCTTGGAGTAGGTGCCCTCAGTGAACCATGGAGGGGGAATACAGGTCCAGTTACACTGGAACTGTGACAGAGGCCGATTGCCCAGTTGTAACAGCCGCCATTTTGGAAATGCGTACAAGGGAGGAAAGGAGTGGACAGCATGGGCCGAAGAAGGGATGGATGCAGGAGGGGGCTGAAGACCCACCTACAGTGGCTTCAGCCCTGGGGCACCTGGAATGGAAGCTAGCACTGCAGGAAGCACAATAACAACAATAATAATAAATTATAAAGCTAGACACTTACATAGTGAGGTTTTCTCCACAGGATCTCCCTCTTCAGTTCTGGCCAAGATTGCTGGCTGGGAATTGGGCTTAGTCGTTATATGGCAGCAATCAGGTTTGCCTTCTTCCAGGCTGGCATCAGGTCCTGTTGTCCCAAAGAGAACCTAACTCTCAGGGAACCTAGAGAACCTAAGCTCTTCAATGGCCTTCTCAAGTTCCTCCTCCGAAGAGTCTTGCTGGTCATCCTCCAGATGGGGAAAAGCTACGGTAGCAGGTTCCACAGCCTCCCTGGGTTTGGGAGATTGTGTAACAGTGCAAAATCCTGTCCAGATCCTCAAAAAGTGGACAGGACACCTATCTACTCCTGGACCATTTTCTGTCATCCTGGTTTGAATATAGGTTATCCTGAGCTGTTTGCTATTTATCCTGCACTGGTCATCCTTCTGGTTGTGGCCCGTCGTGGCCATCTGTTAGCAATGTCCACAAAAAGGTCTTTATTGCGGTGACTGACCACAAGAGCTTCCTGCACTGAGGCTTCTCCTTAGATAGCGATGAGATCCAGTGTCTCAGCACAGCTCCAACAGGCTGTGCGAGGCATATTGTGGAGTTTCTGGAGTAATATTGCAGCAATGCTAGAATACTCAAATCCAGCAGCAAATGGACAAAATCTGGCCCTGTGTCTGTTTTAAAATGGGAGAAGGGGGCATCCTGGCAACTTGACACCAGAGGAGGGGAGGGCACAGAGGTACACAGACAGGTTGGTAACAGTTGCCCATAAAGCAGTGTGAGATAGCTGCTGGAGGACTGCCAAGTAGCGTGCAACAGTATTACATACATACAGACAGGTGGCTTTTCACATTTCACAGGCTCATAGGTTTACTAAACAACTATCAATAATATCTAGATACAGCAGGTAAAATTCCAATGCATCAGGTGGGATAAGTCCACCACAGTAAATGTAAAAATATTTCTCATTTCATAAATAACAATAAAACCCACAGATAGCTGCCTTTCACCAAGTCTGAAGAAGCACTAATACTCATGATACCCTGTTTAACAAACAGCAAGGCAGCCAAAGTGTACAGTCCAGCTACATATAACCTGCTATTAATAATTACACAATGCTGAACTCATGCTGTGCCTATTAGTAATTACCCTAAGTGTGGCGATCTCTGCAGAGCTTACATGGATGCTAAGGGATAGTAGTTTCAACTGCCTAGCTCAAGAGTCTTGTCTCCTGAAGTAGACTCTGATGGGGCAAGGGCAGTCCCTGGAGATGTTAACTCCAGTTTCATTTTCCTCTTTCTTTGTACAACTGCTCATGGAGAGAGTTACAGAAGGGCTACTGGGGTGGCAGAGAAGGGAGAATGCCTGTGAGAAGGCAGGGATCTTTATCCAGGTACTGATTGAACCCTAGCTGTGGAGGTATTTTGTTGTTTATGTTGCTTATTATAACATTTTTCCATTAAAGATTTGCTCCTACCGATTACTGCTGTTTTATTTCTACTGAGGCTAGGTCTATATTACAGAGTTCTGCCATCATAGCTGTGTCAGTCAAGGGTGTGATGAGGTGTGAACCCTGAATGACACAGCTGAAAGCCCAGTGCAGATGCAGTTATGATGGCAAAACAGTACTTTGAGAAGTATAGCTTATTTCGTTCTTGTGCAGGTGAGGGGGTATATAAACTGCATCCATGCTGGGTATGCTTTGCTGGGACACTAGATTGGTATTCCTATACCACTAAAGCACGCCTGAGACATCCCACCAGTTTACACAGAAACTGACAGGGACAGAGCTAATTCAAATCAGCCTTCATTCAGGGACTGGTCAATTACCTTGTGCCATTTTTCTGAGTATTACAGAAAATTGGGTTAAATTTCAAGTGTTATGGTGTGCTAAATTCCATAATAAACAAAGTTTCAACCTATTCACACTTAATTACTCTTCTTTACTTCAATCTAACATTCATCAGAAGTCTGTACACAACGGTGCTGGAGAAAAATCTCACATGATAATGTTTGCAGTTGTTATGGGTGAAAGAATGTGGTATGTAACATGTTAGTTTGTATATTACAAGAAAAAATGGCAAAACACAGTACTTACATTGTCCAGTGTATACCCCGGGGAGCTTAGGTGTAAGCTCAGAAAGATGGTCTGACACCATCACTTGCTCTTGAACCTAAAAAGTAAACCAAGAAGTGCAGTGGATATTCATATGTTGTATATAGTGTATTGTTGATACAGTGCTATTGATGTGCAAAGAACTATGTGCACAAGAAAGAAGACAAGCCCTTGACCTAGAGTACTCACAATTTTAATTTGACAGATAAAACAATGAGATATGACAACAGGCTGGGGCAGGGGGAAGGATAGTTTGTAAGAATAGAAGAAAAAAAAAAGACACCTAGAGAAAAGGGATAAACTATAATTTACAAAGAAATCTTATCACTTATGGTGCACTTATTTCATGTCACTATTGTACCTATGTATTATAAATGAACAAAAGATTCTCATTCTGGTGAACTGCCATTTGGTCTCATTCTGATGAATTGCCAGAGTGTGGGTCCATTAATTCAAATACACAAACTCTGTTCCACACTAGCTGTGTGGACTTACTGTTTCCATATTGTGACAGAATATAACCCTATGTACCCACCCTACAGACTATTGTAATAATGTTTGTACAAGGTATGTTTTGTGAGGTATGATTTAAAAACTCAATTTGCTGACAAATAATATCATGGCAAATGCACGTAGCAACATTATATGTAATAGGTTATATTTTTCTCAATGACCTGGAAGAAAACATAAAATCATCACTGATAAAGTTTGCAGATGACCCAAATATTGGGAGAGTGGTAAATAATGAAGAAGTCAGGTCACTGATACCAAGCAATCCAGATCGCTCTGTAAGCTGGGTGCAAGCAAACAATATGTATTTTAATATGGCTAAATGTAGATGTATACATCTAGGAACAAATAATGTAGGCCATACTTACAGGACGGGGGACTCTATCCTGGGAAGCAGTGACTGTGTAAAAGATTTAGTGGATAATCGGCTAAACATGAGCTCCCAATGTGATGCTGTGGCCAAAAGGACTAATGCAATACATGAATGCATAAACAGGGGAATCTTGAGCAGGAGTAGAAAGGTTATTTTACTTCTGTATTTGGCATTAGTGCGATCACTGCTAGAATACTGTGTCCAGTTCTGGTGCCCACATGTACGGAAGGATGTTGATAAACTGGAGACGATTCAGACAAGAGCCACGAGAATTATTAAAGGATTAGAAAACATGCCTTATAGTGATAGACTCAAAGAGGTCAATGTGTTTAGGTTAACAAAGAGAAGGTTAACGGGTGACTTGACTACAGTCTATAAATACCTATCTGGGGAACAAATATTTAATAGTGGGCTCTTCAGTCTTGCAGACAAAGGTATACACTCCAGTGGCTGGAAGTTGAAGTTAGACAAATTCAGACCAGAAATAAAGCTTAAAATTTTAACAGTGAGATTAATTAACCATTGGAACAACTTATCAAGGGTCATGGTGGATTCTCCATCACTGAAAATTTTTAAAGCAAGACTGAATGTTTTTCTAAAAAGATCTGCTCTAGGCATTATTGTGGGGGCAGTTATCTGGCCTGTGTCATGCAGGAGGTCAGAACAGATTATCACAATGGTCCCTTCTGGCCCTGGAATCTATGAATCTATTATACTGGAGTGGAGAGTAGTGCTTATAAAATTTGGGGATGACACCAGATGGGCAGGGGGTTGTAAGGACTTTGAAGGACAGGATTAAAATTAAAAATGATCTTGAGAAATGGGAGAATTGGTCTGAAACGAACAAGATGATATTCAATAAAACCAGGTGCAAATTACTACACTTAGGAAGGAAAAATCAAAGGCACAGCTTTAAAATGGGGAAAACTGGCTAGGTGGTAGCACTGCTGAAAAGGATCAGGGGGTTATAGTGGATCACAAATTGAATATTAGTGAACAATGAAGTGAAAAAGGCTAATAACCTGTGATTTATTATCAAGAGTGTCTTTTGCAAGACACAGGAGGTAACTGTCCCACTCTCCTTGCCACTGGTGAGGCCTCAGCTGGAGTACTGTGTCCAACTCTGGGCACAACACTTTAGGAAAGATAAATTGCAGGAAGTCCAGAGAATAGCCACAAAAATTATAAAATTAGAAAACAAGACCTATGAAGAAAGGTTAAAAATAGAGGGTATGTTTAGTCTTGAGAAAAGAAGGCTGAGGGGGGACCTGATAACAGTTTTCAGATATGTTAAGGGCTGTTATAAAGAGGACAGTGGTCAACTGTTCTCCACATCCACTGAAACTAGCACAAGAAGTAATGGGCTTAATTGGCAGAAGGGAGATTTAGGTTATATCTAGGAAAAGCTTTCTAACTATAATGGTAGTTAAATGCTGGAATAGGCTTCCAAGGGAGGTTGTGGAATCCCCATCCATGGCGGTTTTTAAGCACAGGTTGAACAAACATCTGTCACGGATGGTCTAGGTTTACTTTGTCCTACCTCAGTACAGGGGGCTGGACTTGATGAGTTCTTGAGGTCCCTTCCAGCCCTACATTTCTATGATTCTTTAATCTTTCATGTGGCTCTTCTCTGAACTCTTTCCAAGTTGTTAACATCCTTCTTGGATTGTGGACACCAGAACTGGACACAATATTCCACTAGTAGTCACACCAGTGTCAAATACAGAAGTAATACAACTTCTCTTCTCCTACACAATATTTCCTTGTTTATACATACATGTTTTGGCCCCAGTATCGCACTAAGAGCTCATGTTCAGCTATTTATCCATTATGACCCCCAAGTCTTTTTCAGAGTCACTGCTTCCTGCATCATATAAGTATGGTCTGCATTCTTTGTTCCTAGATGTATGATCTTACAGATTTGGCTGTATTAACATGCACATTATTTGCTTATGCCCAGGTTACCAAGCGATCCAGATCAGTCTGTATCAGTGACCTGTCTTCTTCATTACTTACCACCCATCCAAACTTTGTGTCATCTACAAACTTTATTAGTGATGATTTTATGTTTTCTTCCAGACCATTGATAAAAATATTAAATATCATAGGGCCAAGAACCAATCCCCAGAGGACCCACTAGAACCGTATGTGCTAGATGATGATTCCCCATTTACAATTGCATTCTGAGATATACCTATTAGCCAGTTTTTAGTCTATTTAATGTGTGTTGTGTTGATTTTATATCTTTATAGTTTTTCAGTCAAAATGTGTGTGGTACCAAAGCCAATGCTGTACATAAGTATATTACATCTACACTATTACCTTTATCAACCAAACTTGTAATCTCATAAAAAAGATATGAAATTAGTTTGACAGGATCTATTTTCTATTAACACATGAGGATTGGCATTAACTATAATATCTCCTTTAATTCTTTATTAATCTAGTCCTATATCAGCCATTCCATTGTTTTTTCTAAGTGTCAAACTGACAGGCCCACAATTATTTATGTCACCTGTTTACCCTTTTTAATATTGGCACAACATTAATTTTCTTCCAGTCCTTTGGAACTTCCCCAGTGTTCCACTACTTATTGAACTTTAAGGGGATGAAAGTCACAAGAGAGTCTTTTATACTATGACAGACGAGCAAGTGCTCCCTGACAGTTTATATTGCTCTGCATAGTTCCCTAGTTCATAAAGTAAGCTGCAATTTGGATCTGTAGAGAAAATTTTCACAAAGAACTTTTGAATATGTTTTAGTTCAGGGTTTACTTTTATAGCTGACTTAAGCCCAGTGTCACAAGCGGGATGTGAATGGTCCAGGCCTACTGGTCAGAACAGGAGTTGGAAGCCAGGTCCGGATACCAGGTGATCAGAGTCTGAGATAGGCCAGAGGGCAAAAAGAGTCAGATGTCAGCAGGGTCAGGTGGAGATAAGAGTAGGCAGTAGGAGCAGGTAATGCAGGGGATGCCATCCCAAGCAGGGGACACCCAGTTGCACAGATGAATTCCTGTTCCTCTGCTTGGTTTAAATAGAAGCAGCGAACCAAACAGGATTCCTGGAGTTCCACCCATCAGAGCCCAGGACTTGAGTCCTCTGTCAGAGGTGAACTTTGAGTTCTGGTCACTTTTAAAACAGGTCACGGGGTGGCGGGTTGGAACATACTGGTGCCTAAGAGCCTTGTGGACTGGCGTTTGAGACCCACAGCCCTGACACTCAGAAAAGAACAAGTTGTGGATTAAAAACACAGATAAACCCTCAAAGCATGCAGCTGGGTCTAAATCAAAAGAAACACTGTCTTATCTCTATCCATGTAATTAAAGAGGAAGTTTGTGAATAATGTCACTATAGCCTTCATTAAATGCTCATGAATAAATCAGAAAAAAGACAAAAATTGGAATACAATATTAGTTTTGAAAACAAATTTCTCCCAGTAATATGACTGGTGATAAAATCCTAAGAACAGACTGACAGCCATATCAGTCCCAGCTTCAGTCCCTGATATCAATTATTGCCATTGGAGCTATTCAATGGAAAGAAAAGATAGTTTCCTTAGAAATCCTCATTTATATGTGTCCTACCTGCTTATCATCTGTCCTTAAGCCTGCTTGTGTGAAAGGTCTCTCATCTCCCTCCCCATCAGCAGTCCTTGGTCTCTTTAGCTCTTCCTCATATCTTAGCGAGCACACATTTTCAATTTCTCCATCATAAGTCTCATCATAGCAGAATATGGCCTCTAGAATATCATCATCAGTCGTGAACAATATAGTATCCCCAAAGTGCTCTGGAGCTGAAAAGCACAAGACATTAGGAATTAAAAACACAATGTGAAAGTACTGCAAATCAAGGGCTTCACTACACTACGATATGGAACTATGTTTTAACATGTGTTGAGTAATATGTTTAACTAATATAATTGTAAATTGTAACATAGACAAGAGACAATGTATTCCTTGTTTATGCTACAGTTTAGTCATGTTACAGTAGAACCTCAGAGTTATGGACACCTCAGGAATGGAGGTTGTTCGTAACTCTGAAATGTTCCGTAACTCTGAACAAGACATTGTGGACTTCAGTCACGGGGGGTGGGGACAGTCAGGGCTTCTGACCCTTGGGGTGCCAGGGCTCCGGGCAGGGGCCTCAGGGCTTCTGCCCCACGGGAGCAACAGGGCTCAGGGCTTTAGACCTGGGGGGGAGTGCTGGGGCTCAGGGCAGAAGCCCTGCTGCTCTGTTCCCAGTTTCAGCCCCGTGGCAGGCGTCGGGGCTTGGGTCTCCCCATGACTCCGCTCCCGGTTTCAGCAAGGGGGGCCCACTGGGGCTCAGGACTTTAACTGCTGAGGGAGTGCTGGGGCTGAAATGGGTGCTCCCCTTGTAGCTAAAGCCCTAAGCCCCTGTGTACCCAAGGGGCTAAAGCCCTGATCCCCACCCTGCAGCTGCAGCCCCAACCCCCCATGGCTGAAGCCCTGAGCTCCAGGGCTAAAGCCCCAAGGAAGTACAGTATTTGCTGGGGGTATTTTGGTTTTGTGGTTTTTTGTCTCTGCTGCTGCCTGATTGATTAATTCCAGTTCCACATAGTGTCCGGTTGACCAGTAAGTCTGTAACACTAGTGTTCATATCTTTGAGGTTCTACTGTAGTTAACATGTTAAAACACAATTTCTTATTGTAGTGTAGGTGAGTCCAGAGAATCCAGCTGATTTTTAAACACATCTAAAATATAAATCTGTAAAAAAAGAAGATCTCATACACATAAAAACAAGGACAATACAAATAAAGCCCAAGACTGTAAGCTGTTTGGGGCAGAGACAATCTTCTGTTTTTTTATCTGTTTCCTGTCCTGGCTGGGGACTCTAGGAGCTATAAATATAAAATATTCTCCTTAAAAAGGATACATCTACATTTGAGTTGGGAAATTTGATTCCCAGCTCATGCAGATGTACCCAAACTAACTCTAGCTAGCATGCTAAAAATAGCAGTGTAGCCAGTGTCGTTTTCACAAAGAAAATGAGGGATCATACCATACCTCCAGACAATGTTCCTGAAGCCTTTGCAATTTCTCCTTTAAAGATGCATTGCTCATCTAATAGCATTGTAATATCTTTCACACCTCGGAAGGAGTGTATTCGGGATTTATTATAATTCCAAATCCTAATCATAGCTACTTGACAGGGATTCACAAAGTCAATATAGATAAGGTGAGGCTTCCCAGGAGTAAAGGGTGCTAGCCAAAGGTGCATGTCATCCTGTGTCCGATTTACCCCATCAGTTAGATTGGTTATTACTCTTGGATCTTTGCCATACGCTGGTAAAATATTTATATCAGGTGGCTCAGCTTTTATCTTTGAAATCTGAACAGGCTCTCCTTTGGAACTAAAAACTTCAATTCCATTAAGACCAACATAGTGTCTGTCTCCCCATGTGGATTTAATGTCTATTATTAAGTACTGTCCATATGGCAAAACAGGGATTTTAAAATCATTTCCATCATCTGTCTCCATGTAATTTTCTTCTTGTCGTTTTGGTAGCACTTGTATTCCTTCTTTCCTCACAAGCTGATGTTCTCCATGCCGGCTGATTTTTTGCTGATGTAGAAACTCATCAAAGATATCCCCTTGAAAATCCATGTTGGAGATTCGCCCACGGTGAGAATAATTGAACTTTAGAAGGGAGTTCCATGACTCCTGCAGAGTGTGTTCTTGTTCACTGTGCCACCCGGCTCTGAAGTTTTTTAGGCCTTTGACACAAAGGGCTTCATCTGAAAATAAAATCCAAGATAAGTCTTTATATATGTAGACATGACAAGAAATTAATTCCCACAATATAGACTATCAAATGTAGACCATTGTGTTGGTTATGTTGGGTTCTTTTGCGGTAGCGTTCTGTTCTAATGCTGCTATTACATTGCTTCTCTTATTACACACAAGGTTAAAATCTCTGACTCCCTTTCCCAGCTTAGTGTTAAACAAAATAATTATGTCAATAAAGGTTAATGTTGAGACACAAACCAACAAAAAAAAAAAAAAGGAAAGAATCCAAGTTTTAAGGCTACCTGAGCATCATCAGCTGAGCACTGTTAATGGAACTACAAGTCAATTACAGGTTTCAGAGTAGTAGCTGTGTTAGTCTGTATCAGCAAAAAAACCGAGTACTTGTGGCACCTTAGAGACTAAAGGATATATGTGATATATGCCATCATGTGCCAGCAATGCCCCTCTGCCATGTACATTGGCCAAAATGGACAATCTCTATGTAAAAGAATAAATGGCCACAAATCAGATGTCAAGAATTATAACGTTCTAAAACCAGTCGGAGAACACTTCAATCTCCCTGGTCACTCGATTACAGACCTAAAAGTCGCAATACTACAACAAAAAAACTTCAAAAACAGACTCCAGCGAGAAACTGCTGAATTGGAATTAATTTGCAAACTGGACACCATTAAATTAGGCTTGAATAAAGACTGGGAATGGATGGGTCATTACACAAAGTAAAACTATTTCCACATGCTTATTTTAACCCCTCCTGTTACTCACACCTTCTTGTCAACTGTTGGAAATGGGCCATCCTGATTATCACGACAACAGGTTTTTTCTTTTTCTTTTTTCTCCTGCTGATAATAGCTCACCTTAACTGATTACTCTCATTATAGTTGGTATGGCTACACCCATTTTTTCATGTTTTCTGTGTATATATATATCTTCCTACTGTATTTTCCACTGCATGCATCCAATGAAGTGGGTTTTAGCCCATGAAAGCTTATGCTTAAATAAATTTGTTAGTCTCTAAGGTGCCACAAGTACTCCTGTTCTTTTTGCAGATACAGACTAACATGGCCGCTACTCTAAAACCTACATATAACTGAGGTTCTTCAAGATGGACTCTGCATATTCACACTCCTGGGATATGCACCAACCGGCAGTCATGAATGGTGTCCGGTTTTTGACCGGAAAGTCCAGTTGAAAAGGGGACCTGATGGTGTCCGGTTAGCTCTACTGATCAGACACCCAAAGTCTGGTTATTGCAGGCAGGGGAGGCACCGAGTCATCACCTGTGCCAGCCCCTACTTAGCCAGGGCCGCCTCCTACCTGCATTGGGCGACTGCAGCTCCCCTCCCCGGCTCTGCAGGCAAGTCCCTCCCGACCCATGCAGGGGTAGGAGGTGGGGAACAGCAGCGAGTGATGGGGGGAGGGGGAAAGAGGAGTGAATGGGAGGTGGGGCCTCAGGGGGAGGGGGAGGGGCAATGGTGGAGCCTCAGGGCTCTGAAGAGGCAAGGCAGGAATGAGGCCTGGGGGAAGGGGCGGGGCAGGGCCTCAGGGGGAAGGGGCTGGGCAAGGGAGGTTCCAGCACTCCTGCTGGAATATTCGGTTTTTATATATTACAAAGTTGGCAATAGTTTGGGATAGTTTGGTCAGTAGTAGATAGTAAATGTATGGTGGTAAATGTATCCCAATGAGAGAGGTTGAAGAACAGCCCCGCCAAATTATGTATCAGACTAGCAGCTATGTCTAATGCATAATGTTTACTAAAAGTATGTACTGAGTTCCATGTGGCCACTTTACACATTTCAATTAATGAAATAGGTCTATGCTGCTGAAGTAGAAACTACCTTGGTAGAATGTGTGTTAATAGTAGGAGGAGAAAAATGTGAAACATTCTTACAACTCACTTCATTGAACTGTCTGACCCAGAGCATTGGTCTTGTAAACCAGGGGTCATGAGTTCAAATCTCGCTGGAGCCTGGGCAGCAGTTTCTGGCTGGGCCTGTTGTCCCCCAGCAGTGAGGTGCTTGGCTTTATTTATTTGGGGCACCTGGCATTGGGCCAATGTTGGAAGACAGGATACTGGGCTAGATGGAGCTTTGGTCTGACCCAGTGTCATAAATATAAAGGGAAGGGTAAACACCTTTAAATCCCTCCTGGCCAGAGGAAAAACCCTTTCACCTGTAAAGGGTTAAGAAGCTAGGACAACCGCGCTGGCACCTGACCAAAATGACCAATGAGGAGACAAGATATTTTCAAAGCTGGAGTGGGGAGGAAACAAAGGGTTCTTTCTGTCTGTGTGATGCTTTTGCCGGGACCAGAGCAGGAATGCAGGTCAGAACTCCTGTAAAAAGTCAGTAAGCAATCTAGTTAGATGTGCGTTACATTCTGTTTTGTGTAAATGGCTGATAAAATAAGTTGTGCTGAATGGAATGTATATTCCTGTTTTTGTGTCTTTTTGTAACTTAAGGTTTAGCCTAGAGGGATTCTCTATGTTTTGAATCTGATTACCCTGTAAGGTATTTTCCATCCTGATTTTACAGAGGTGATTCTTTCACTTTTTCTTTAATTAAAATTCTTCTTTTAAGAACTTGATTGCTTTTTCATTGTTCTTAAGGTCGAAGGGTATGGGTCTGTGTTCACCTGTGCAAATTGGTGAGGATTTTTATCAAGCCTTCCCCAGGAAAGGGGGTGTAGGGCTTGGGGGGATTTAAGAGGGAAAGACGTTTCCAAGTGGGTTCTTTCCCTGTTGTATTTGTTAGACGCTTGGTGGTGGCAGCAAAAAAGTCCAAGGACAAAAGGTAGAATACTTTGTACCTTGGGGAAGTTTTAACCTTAGCTGGTAAAAATAAGCTTAGGGGATTTTTCATGCAGGTCCCCACATCTGTACCCTAGAGTTCAGAGTGGGGAAGGAACCTTGACACCCAGTATGGCCGTTCTTATGTTCTTTTCCCTCTGAATACTTTAGCTTTGTCTAAATAGTAAGAGAGAACTTTTTAGCATTCAAACAATGTAACTTTAATTCACTCCTATGAGTGTGAAGTTTTGGAAAGAGTATTGGCAGGTTAATACATTGATTAATAAGAAAATCAGAAATTACTTGCTAAAAAAATGTGGTTATTTATCTTTATAAAAAATTGTAAATGGAGGGTCTGCCATCAAGGCAAAAAATTCACTGATTCTTTTAGCCGATGTACCTGCTATAATAAGGGCTGTTTTAATGGAAAGATGAAATAAATACCAAGTTGATAACAGTTCAAATGTTAACACCTGGTTTAAGTCCCATGGAGAAACTGGTGGGTAAAGATTCAATCGACCCTTAAAAATCTTTTGACAATATAACAAGAAAAAATTGATTTTACCATCCACAGGATTATGAAAAGCTGCTACTGCATCTAAATGCATTCTAAACTATGAGATGGATAACCCCTTATTTGTTAGGAAAAACAAGTACTCTAAAATACACTAAATAGGAGCAAATACTGGATCAAAATCCTTATCTGATACCCACAGTAGAAATCTCCATTTTAGATCATAACATATTCTAGTAGATTGTTTTCAAGAATTAAGCAGTACCTAAGAACATAAGAATGGCCATACTGGGTCAGACCAAAGGTCCATCTATCCCCGTATCCTGTCTTCTGACACTGGCCAATGCCAGGTGCTTCAGAGGGAATGAACAGAACAGGTAATAATCAAGTGATCCATTCCTTATCGCCCATTCCCAGCTTCTGGCAAACAGAGGCTAAGGACACCTTCCATGCCCATCCTGGCAGATGGCCATTGGTGGACCTATCCTCCATGAACTTATCTACTTCTTTTTTGAACCCTGTTATAGTCTTGGCCTTCAGAACATTCTCTGGCAAGGAGTTTCACAGATGCATTGTATGAAAAAATACTTCCTTTTGTTTGTTTTAAACCTGCTGCTTATTAATTTCATTAGGTGACCCCTTGTTCTTGTGTTATTAGAAGGAGTAAATAACACTTCCTTATTTACTTTCTCCACACCAGTCATGATTTTATAGACCTCTATCATATCCCCCTTAGTCATCTCTTTTCCAAGCTGAAAAGTCCCAGTCTTATTATTCGTTCCTCATATGGAAGCCGTTCCATACCCCTAATAATGTTTGTTGCCCTTTTCCGAACCTTTTCCAATTCTAATAAATCTTTTTTGAGATGGGGCAACCACATCTGTACACCCATACTCAAGTTGTGGGTGTACAATGGATTTATATAGAGGCAATATGATATTTTCTGTCTTATTATCTATCCCTTTCTTAATGATTCCCAACATTCTCTTTGCTTTTTTGATTGCCGCTGCACACTGAGTGGATGTTTTCAGAGAACTGTCCACAATGACTCCAAGATCTCTTTCTTGAGTGGTAACAGCTAATTTAGACCCCATCATTTTATATGTATAGTTGAGATTATGTTTTCCAATGTGCAGTACTTTGCATTTGTCAACACTGAATTTCATCTGCCATTTTGTTGCATCTCAAGAGAGAAAGAGTTCTCAAAATTTGTCAAAATCCTGTTCCGAATGCCATGAGATGTAGTGACTGAGGGTCTGGATGGTGTACTCTTCCCATTTTTATGACAGCAGATATGGCAATACAGGTAAGTGTTTAAATTTCCTTTTGTAGAGGAGAAACTAGTTCATGTACCATCGCTGTCTTGGTTATGCGGGAGCAACGAGTATCATTTTGGCTGAGTCCTGTCTGATCTTTTTTACCACCTTAAACAATAATGGAAAAGGCAGGAAAGTATACATCAGATCTGTCCCCCAACTGATGAGAAACATATCCATCAATGACTGAGTGTCTATCTCTTCTATCAAACAAAAGTGACGGCATTTGCTATTGAGGCTGATGGCAGAGATTGACATTTGGAAATCGCCAAATATTGACAAGTTCTTAAATCGCTGATTCCTCTAGAGACCATTTGTGAACCTTAGAAGAGTCTCTGCTTAGTTGGTTTGCCAGTTTATTGTTAGATC